TATTCTATGATATTGGACCTTATTTATAATGACTGGAAAATGAACTTAGATATTTTATTCACAACGTAAGGGTACAAAATGTGTTTATTACTCCTATACCTATCTCTTTTACTTTGAGATACCAAATTTGACATTAATGCTTTTAATAAATTAGATAAGGCAAATGATATGACTTGGTGCAATATTCTAGAGTTTAGCTCGACTATACTCCAAAGCTAACATTTGTATTATTTTATTTTCTTCAAGCATCATATTAAATGTCAATGAGATATTTTGGTGAGATTAGATAGAGCATATGCCTAAGTACTGTGTCAAATTTAAATACCATCAAGATAGCCTGATGAACTCCAGTTTGAAATCAAATTTTGGAAAATGATTGTTTATTATTTAAAAATTAGCTGGAGATCAATAAGGCTGACTTGGGTGGTAAGTTTCAAGTTGACATGATTATTGCCTTGTTACCAAACTCATTCGACTCTGTTAGAGTGAACTAAATAAGGAATCAGTTTGAGTTCACACTCGCTGATATTCTTATAGAATTGGTAACAGAAGAAGGGATAATCAAGAGTATGGGCGTTCCTATCAATCTAACCTAGTCTATACCATCTTCTTCTAGGCCCAAGTGGATGGGCAAAGCAAAGAAGAAGGATGATAATAGAACTAGGCTAGCACAAAACATAGGTATCTAAAAGGTTAAAGGGAATAAGGCAGTGTATGTTGAGGGCGAATGAAACTGTTTCTTTTGCCGTTAACTAAGACACTAAAGGACAAACTGTCTAAGCAATGACGTGGCATAGGAAAATATATATTTAATCATTGAGCCATGTTATGTGGTTGTATCTATTAATTCCTGATGGATAGATTCTTGAGCCACTAAACATGTTTGCAATTTATTGTAAGGATTTCAGGAATCCAGAAGCCTTGATGATATGGGTATATATTTATCTTTTGACCTGATGCCAAGGTTGTAACTAAGTCAGTGGGAGTATTACATCTGAAATTAGAGAGTATGAGGATATTAGTATTAGAGAACTATCTTTACGCACAGAAGTGAAACGCAATCTCATTCTTATTTCACTTTTGACTTATAAAAACTAGATCGTTATTTTGTAAAACTGGTTTTATAAAATTGAATAGATATGTGATTGCTTCTGGTGTATTGAAAGATGGTTAATATACTATAATCACAAGCTCTTAAGATTTGCAGGATGTAGAAACTAATGTTGCATCTTCTAGATTGAATGTTAAGAGAAAATTTGTTATTCCTGACTCATTGTATTTTTGGTGTCTATTTTTGGGTTGTAATCAATCAAAATGAGATTTAAAGATTGGTTAAAGAAGGTTTATTACCTAGTGAGGCAGAGGAGCCTAAACCAAACTTGTGAATCTTGTTTTGAAGGATAGATAACTCTAAGGGCTTAATCAGCCAAATGAAATAGACATAAAGAACAATTGGAGTCGGTACACACGTACACGTGTAGTCTTATGAACATCCAATCAAGATTACTCACGTTTTGGATAAATTTACCTGTTGCGACACAAGTCTTATACTTTTGGTATATTCTGAGAGGGTCAAGACTGATGTGGAGCTCAGATTAGGTAAACTTATCAAGACACTTTCGATCTGATCGAGTATTTGAGTATTTCTTGGGATAGTGCAAAGACTATATGGTCAATGAGGGTGTTGTGTACCAGTTTTCCGCAATTGACGCTAAATTAATTTAGGTGTCAAATAGGAATAACAGAATTCCACTTAACATGGTTAGATCTATGATCAGTAATGCCACATTATCTCTTTCATTTAAGAGTTTAGCGTTAATGACATCGATGCGCATTATGAACTGCATTCCATCTTAGTCTGTCTCAAGGATACCGTTGAGCTGTGTTTTTGACTAAATATTAGTTTGAATCATATGCACATATGGGGTAGTCTTGCACATGTGCGCTTGATATGGACAAGTAAGTTGGAAGCAGATCATAGGCATGCTAGATTTGATAGCTACTCTAAATGTCACTAGGATGGATTATTTTATGATCTCAAAGATAAAAGTTGATTGTTTTCACTCACTGTTTATCTATAGGAGAATCATATTATGAATCACATACCTAGTAGCATAATGTTAGAGAATTTGGTATGAGTACCAGGTGTACCACATGTGAACACACTTATTATAGAGATTGAGAATAATATATGAATTCCCTATTGATGCGTTAGCATCATCTACTACACAGATTCTTGCATCGGTACATTGATGTAGTGGGAGGATTGTCATCCAATTCGACAGAATCATGTTTTTAGGTGAGACCATTATAGACATCCCTGTTAAACATGAGTTGGACCCAGTAAGCTACACGGAAGCGTGAACTGATGTGGATACAGATCGTTTTGGTGAGTTACTATGAAATCAGAGTTGGAATCTATGTATTCTAATAAATTCTGGGATCTTGTAGAACTTTCTAGTAGGGTGATTCCTATGGAAGGCAAGTTAATCTACAAAAAGATACCAGAAGATTTCTTAGTGAATAAATCATGAGTATACAAGGGAATGTTATTATTTTTCTTAATTCTATATATTGATGACATCCTACTCATTTATAATGACGTGGAAGTTTTGTCATCAATTATAAGGTAGTTGTTCAATTACTTTTAAATGAAGGATTTTCAAGATGTAAGCTATATTCCTAGGATCAAGCTTTTGCAAGATCAGGTTAAAAGGAAAATAGGCTTATCTTAATAATCCTACATTGATAAAGTTTTGACCAGGTTTGGTATGCATAACTCAAAGAATGAGTTCTTGCTTTATTGATATGGATCGCTCTCTCTAGTAAGTAGTTTTTCAAGACTAGCAGAGGAGATTGAGCAAATGAGACTGGAACAATATGTTTCGGCATATGAGAGTCTCATACATGCCATGGTCTATACCAAACAGGACATCCGCTACATGGTAGGGATAGTCAGTAGAGATCAGTCCAATACTGGACTTGACAACTGGTCTATTGTGAAAAATATCATTAAGTACCTAAGGAGAATCAATGATATCATACCCATTTATGGATGTGATGATATGGTCCTAGTCAGGTATGCTAGTTCTGATTTTCAATCAGAAGTAGATACTATGAGGTTCATGACTTAGTGTATGTTCACTTAATGGAAGGGAAATCAGTTGGTAGATTGTCAAACAGATTTCAACTGTTGACTCAAACCTGCAGGTGGAACATATTGCAGCCTTAAAGGTGGCAATATAAGCCTATTGGTTTGATCTCACTGATTTAGAGGTTGTGGAGCATACTAGCCTGCCTATCGAGCTATATTGTGACAATAGTGCAGAAGTAGTCCAAACCAATGACACAAGGTTCCATAGAGGAACAAGATACACTGAGAGGAAGTATCATGTTCGACATGATATTATCCGGCAAGAAAATGCACTTGTAGTTAAAACATTGCATTGGAACACAACTTTGTTGATCCATTATCAAAGGTGTGATTGATCAATAATTTTGATCATCATCTGGATAACATTGAAGTTAGGTGCAATTTGAATTGGCTATGAGGGCAAGTGGGAGCTGTTGGGATTTATATGCCCTGGCATAGCAAATTCCTATCTGGATTGTATTGACATATGTTCCTAACATATCTGAAATATTTATGATTTATATAATTGGTGAATTCAATGTATTATGTTTCAATTCACTATGAAATTGATAGTGTCCAGTTAATTACAAGAAATATTTATATATATGTATGTGATGACAATCAATGCATGATATATAAATAGTAATTATAAATTGTTCATAGTCGGTAATTATAGATGGACTCATAATTAATTAAGACTTGAACTGGATCCGCGTTAGGTTGAGATATATTGCGAGAGCCGTCGTATGCAATTACTCCCTATCACCGTCATGGCATTTGACTCTTAAGCATGAAAAAAGTATAGACTCTTTTATTAATTAATAATTATTTTGATTTGTTCGGCGGATTCTTCGGGATCCTTAGACCGACACTTTGGGTAGTTATGTAATTAATAGTTAGAGGGTTATATTTTCAATATTTGCATCATTGCTACTTGTATTTATTTTGTATTGATTATGGTTGATCACAAAGTAAATTCGAAGGCCTTCGTGTGTTTTTAGACAAAATGATTTATTATATATTTATTTATTTAAATTATTATTTTTGTCAAACAAATGTTTTATTGTGATCGAGCCAGAAATAATCAAAGGTATCAAAATAAATATATTAATTAAAGAGTCGGATTGATGGCTATATTTATCCGATAACTAATTATGCATAGAGGGGTCAAAGTGCAATATTGACTTAGAGGTTATTTATTATTTAATTGGAGTTCAATTAATTTCTTTTAGTGGAGTAGAAATTAATTTATGAATTAATTGAATTGGGTCCATGGACCGGGCCAATTATTAATTCATTGTAGCCAATAAAATAATAGGCCCAATGGATTCTCACTCATAGCCCAACTTGATATTGGAATCATATTAGATTTGAGACATATGAATTAGAGATGGAGAAGGATTTGTTGTTTCCTTTTCTTTATTTTTATGTTGCCTATAAATATACATGGTTTATGTATATTTTAGGGGGTGATTTTTATGAGAAGGAAAAAGGAATAAATTTTCTCTCTCTAGAAAATTAGGGTTTATGTTCTCATCTAATGGAGGCTCCCACAAGCCTAGTTTTCCAAGGTCATTCATGGAGGCATATGAGTGATTCCTAAAGGCAAAAGAATTACCAAGAAGATGGAGATCCATGGAAAAGGTGTCTAGCAAAAGGGATCTACAATAAGTGAGAACATTCACTTTAGAGGAGAGATCTAAGGTTTACTCAAACCTTGATGTAAGTATTCAATCTTTTAATTGAATGATACATCATGTTTTATTTTTGCATAAAACTTGTCTCTAAGTGATGAATCAAGATCTATGAATTTAAATCCCTCGAAAAGTTTTTAAAACTAGCACGTTTCCCAACATAGAGCACAGATTTTTGGCTCCGTAAAAGTTGTGCTTTGCATTTATAGGAAATTGCTATCATCATGTAACAAGCAGATGTAAGTTTGAAGTTTCATTCTTTGAATTTAATTTAGTTCTGAATCCTATTACAGCACTGGTGGATTATTTTTCATCATCATCATATGTTGTGAATTCTTTTTAAGAATGCATATATCTCCTTACATAGTTTTCGTTTCAAATAAATCTATGTAAATTGCCTTGTTTTGAAGGATGAATTTGTTCCAACATTTCTCTATAAACAATTTGCTCCATTAAAAAAATGTGAAGTTATAACCACCCAGCTTTTTTCTTTGATGTATAGTATAAAACTGGGGTTAGGGTGGGGCGGCGACGTCTCTTTTCCTTCTATTTGGGGCATGTAGTATATAGATTTCAAAATTCAGAGTACATTTCTAGATTTTATTTTATTTTATTTTTTTTCAAAGAGTACATTTCTGGTTCAAATTTCAACTAAATTAAGATAGATTACATATTTGTTTAATTATTGAGAGGAATCTTCAGAGATACTTTATGGGTGGATTGCTGCGTTTTGAAAGTTGGACTTAATGGTTTTTCAATTTTTATTTTTCCTTATCGATTGACGATTTTAAGAAATGGATTAGTACAGTTTTATCATCAAACCACTCGATTTTATGACATATATAGATTGTAGGTATGGTAGGTTTCGACCTTCTTGTTAATGGAGTGAAATTAATTGAAGAATTGTTAGAATTTAAATGAAGAGTTGTGTTGGAAAATGAAACCAAACATGCTGATTATAGAACTCAAATCTCTATACTTAGAACTGTTATCTTTTAAATTAAATTTTGGATATGAAAGTACAATTGTTAATGAGTTTACAGGCTTTTGTTTGGCTTAAATTGATTGAATTTTGAAATTATTATAGATTTTCAAAGTTGATGTTAACATGCTGTCAAAACTGTTTTGTGAGCATAATTTTTCGTATCTTTTCCTTCAAACCTGATTTAATCGGTAAGAAAATTTATTGATTTAAATTGATAGAAGAAAAATATATTCTTTAAGCTTCCAATGGACATTGGTTTCATGCAAATTGGTTGAGAATTTATTTTTTTATGAATTTTCAAAGGGAAGTAAGTTTTGCTAGGAAAAACTGTTTCAAACAGATTTTTGGGCTTCCTTCTGATTTATTTGTTTATTGTAGGAAGTTCATGAAACCTTAGTGCGAACTGATCTGATAGAACAAAGTGATGTTTTCCCAATCCAATCAATGTGCCAACACAGTCTGCCAATTTCTTTATATGAAATTTAAAATTAAAAACTGAAGTGTTACCAGGTAGTGATATATAGTTTCCCCTAGAAGTGGTGAAGGCTCCTTCTTCTCTCTATAATATTGTAATTATTTTGTGTGTATTTGTTTGTGCGTGCTAAGTTATAATGTGATCCCAGTCACTTCAATAATAACTGTGTTAGCATGAGTTGCTTGCTTAACCGTAGTGTTACCATTTTGCATGTCTTTCTTTTATTAGCTTTTTGGGCGTTTATATGTTCAGATTCTGCTGTTGTGCTGTTTTTTGTTATAAAGGCGAAGGGGGTGGAACTGCTGGTTCAGAGAGGTCATGGTGCGATTGGGTTTTTCTTAGTCTGATGATTGCTTTCTCTCATAATAAATTCTCGTCTTTTTTTTTTTTTTTTTGCTATAGTGGAATATTTTGTGATTGTATGATGTTTGTTCTTGAATAAAAAAAGTACATCTGAATTTAAATAAGTGAAAGTTCTTAGTGCTTTCGTAATTAAGAAAAATATACCAAAAGAAAAACATCCAGAAACTATGAAACATATCCTCATTATGCTTATTAATACACTTGAATAGCCAACAATGAAAATATAGTTGTTTCTAAACTCTAAAACACTGGCGTCCAAATGAATGTTGTGCAAGTGTGTGGTCGTCATTTATTTTGTCTATGAGAGGTTGAAATTGAGCTTCAATTTATGGCAGTGTATATAAAAGTAAATGTGAGAGGCAAAAATAAAGAATAAAAAATGCGCCTAAGAACCGAAACATATGTACGTGGTGGTGATAAGGTGAGCTTTAGATCAAAAGTGAGTTTGTTTTTGAATGTGAGAAATTAATTAGAGTTAGGTTAGTCCCTTAAATCACCATTTGGTACTAGAATACTTGACCTCTGTGCTAAAGTAGAAGGTGATGTAGATATGAATCTCATTGTCACGTAAAAGACTTATCATCCAAGGCAATAATAATTCTTATTTAACAGTGTCCTCAAATTTAGGTATTTGATATATTCAACCTTAGACAGTTGCCTGCTTTGATATTTACCAACTCAAGACACAAGTACCTGAGTCCCATATAATATGGCTGACAAACCATCCTAGATCATTTATTTGATTCCATTACTATTGGTAGCATATCCCAAAATAGGTATAGCAAGATAAATTAGTATTTAATTAAACCAGGCGCTTCCTTTGAAAAGAAGAGAAGAAAGGTTATAAAAAAACAATAGATCTACTAAACTTCCTAAAAGAATCTGGCCAGGTTTCAGTCCTAAAAAAGTGTCAAAAAGAAAGAAAAATTGAATTAAATAAGGTCAATTTCTTTGTTGAATAAAGCCCTCTTATTCAACAATTGAAAGAAAAACTGTTTTCTTTTCCTTTTTGTTTATTTATTATTTCCTTCCCCAATTGAGGTTCCTTTTATGTTTTAACTAATGATTTTTTTGTATATATATATATATATATATATATATATATATATATAATTTTTAGAAAACATACATAATTCATTGGTTTAACTAGCTGGTCCAAATAATATGTAATAATGCAGAATAATTTTTGAGCCTTTTTAATGTATGGAATTTTATTTGTTGCCAAGGTGGTAAGATGGAAATGATGATCCATTGTATACCCCTAATTAGACCTGCATAGCATCGAAATATATGCCCAGGGAACTCTATTTATGATATGGTTGGCTCCAAGGTCTTTCGATTATAGTTAAGTTCATAATGATCTGGTTATGCTTTTGACATTGCTGGATACTGCATAGTATTTGTGTTCATTCGATTGATGTCTTTAACATTTGCAGTTTTGTTATCTTATTGGTTTGGTTTTTTTTTATTATGAATCAGGGGTGGACCCGTCAACTTTTGTTTGGGGGGCCAAACTAGTTCTATCTACTTTAAAAATTAAAAGTTAGTTGTGGAAGTTTTTTTTATTAGTAATATATCTCTTGATGTCTGTATATTAACATGTGTATTAATATATTATAATGGGCTTTATTTTTCTATTAAGATTTGGGCTTATTCTTCCCAGTATTACGTGGATCACACACACACACACACACATCTATTCTTCTTTCCTCTCAATTTTTTAGAATCTAAGCAAATCTTATAATGCATAATTTTTTTGCCCATTCCATAAAAGAATAACAGGACATGTAAGATATGCATGATAAAAATAACAAATAGTTCATTGTTATTTACCTTAGGTAGAAGGTTTGTACATAATTTTTTTACCCATTCCATAAAAGAATAATGAGTTTATGCTCGTGATAAAAACAACAAATAGTTCATTGTTAGATCTTATGTATTGTCTAGCATAAGGGTAATTTTTTTCCCCTGGCTTCTAAGATAAATACATTGGTTATTTACCTTGGGTAGAAGGTTTGTTCAACTGGCATTTAGTTAGCAACTGCAATATTGGTTTTTTACCATGTTAATTAAGGGAGCTCTTTTGCTTCAATGATCACAATCTTAATTTTAATCCATTTCAGGGTTAGCAGTGATGCTGGTAATGCTAGTGACCACATGCCTAACTTCCTTAGTGATCATCCTTTGTTGGCACAATGAATGAAGATGGTTGGGCAAGCTTAGCGGGCGACTTCTTTTTGCAATCTTTTGTTAGTACTTGGTTTTCTTTTTTTTAACAATGATGGAGACTTTGTACTCTAAATTATTCAATGAATGTTTTGGATTAATTTTTGGTGATTGTTCTTTTTTTAACAATGATGGAAACTTTGTACTTCAAATTATTTAATAAATGTTTGGGATTAATTTTAGGTGATTGTTATATATATATATGCCTTTGGTTGCAATTTGGTTGTGTATGTGGAGTAGGATATGAGTGATATATGTTGTTGGACGACAAGTTACCCATTTAATATATATATATATACATACACACTTTATGGCATGGGCTTAATGTGAGGTAGAAACTATCACATTATTTCTACCATGGGAAGAAAAAAAAAGAGGCTTCATAAGGGTTAAAATATTATTTTTTAAAAAAATTATATAACACTTTTTACCACGGTGGAGAACCGTGGTAGAAAATAGACTTTCTACCACAGTGCGAAACCGTGGTAGAAAGAACCACTTTTTGCCACGGTGCAGAACCGTGGTAGAAACCACGGCTGTTTCTACCACGGTTCAAAACCGTGGTAGAAAGCCTTTTCCACCGTGGTAAAAAGTCATTTTTCTTGTAGTGCATACCGGTGCATACAATCCCCCAAATAGTATAATTGACAAAACAGGAATAAGTAACTCATCAATCATACTCCAAAATAAGCGTAAATAAATTCTAATATATATATGACCATAATATGCATCCAATACAAGATTTAAAAATCAAGTTCCAGTCCTTTAAATTGCTAGATTAAGACTAAGCATTTAAATTCTCCAAACAATCCAACAATTGATGCAATTTACAATAAATTAAAACATCAATTAATCTCATCTAAGCAAAATTATTTTCAGATGATAAACTATGCTTATAACCCTACTAAAACATGATTAACATAATTAAATCATGTAGAGAAACAAAATTGCTAAATATCAGTAAGCAATTTAAATTAATTGTCCAACCTTCCACATGCAATTTTACTGTTTAATCTTATGTTATTTCATTCTTCAACATCTTAATGTAAATATGCTTCCCAGTAGTTTATATATCTCTGTAACAGTTATATACATCATCCACAGCAACTAAAACAACTTAGAAAGCCCCCTACTGGCCAAACCAAACCCAGAACCACGAAAAACCAAAAAACAGAAGAGGGAGCCGCCTCCCTAAACAAGGGAGCCGGCTCTCCCCTTGGTGGAGCCGGCTCCACCCTTGTGGGAGCCTGCTCTACCCCTTGTGGAGCCGGCTCTCTCCTTTGGAGAGCCGTCTCTTTCCTTCTGAGAGCCGTAATTCGATTCTGGTTGTCTTCTTCGCCTCCGGCAGTGTGCAAGACCCTCTGTACTATCTTATTTAAATACCTAGGGTTCAATTTATGTCCCAGAATTAACTATAAGCATGTGTCATACATCATCGACATGAATTAAAACCAGTTTAAAAATCAACTACAATAAGATTTAAGCAAGAACATGTATCAACCATTAAACAGTTTAATTCAACGCAATTAAATTCAATTCAAATATGCTTAAAAGATCAGTTTTAACGTCAATTTAAAACCCTGGAGATTACCTAGGCATGCACAGAACACAGGTTTGAGGGAAAGAGTTAGAATTAGAAACTTGCCTTCGGTTTCAGTTTTGAAACCTTAAACCACCGTCTCTGAGTTTTCCGACAGATTACCGACTGCCGTTCAACACCTCCGTTGCTCTTGGTTCAATCCAGAAGCAATCCCTTCCTTCCTCCTTTAGCCTCCCTGGTTATCTCTCAAAACCCTCTCTGTTTCCTCTCAAGCTTCCCTCTGCGTTTTTCCTCTCAAGTCACTGTTTCATGGGTAGGATTTTCCAACCCTAGTAGACGTAAACAATAATATATATAGGCGTCTAAACCCTAAGTCTAATTACAACGGTATATATAAGCTTCAATTAAAACCTAATTCCAACCCCAACCTAAATTACAAGTCGGTGACTACATAAAAATATAAAACCCTAAACCTATAGTTATACACGTAAAACTAAAGACACGAAATAAACATTTAATCACAACAACAAATTACATGAATTTCCACATCAGCATATAATAATAAAGAAAAATAATAAATAAATAAAGCAATTAAATAATTTAAACAAAACAATTACATAAATAACCACTTAAATTAATTAAACAATTAAACAATGAAACAATTAAGCAACTAAGCCAATTAATCAAATAAAAATGAAATAAAACCATTAATTAAATTACCGAGACTATCCTTTTAAAATTAGGGGTATTACACCTTAAGTGATGGTGCTCGATCATTGAGGTTAGGCACGAGGTCTGGGAGCTTGGTTCTTCAATCAAAATTAACTCTTCAAATTCTGACGCCTTGTGCTCGAGCTTGAGGGTCAAGGCTCGAGCACCCTTAGTTAAGGCTCGAGCACCCTTTGTTAGGGCTCGAGCGCTAAGGTACAAGGCTTGAGCTTCAATGCCTTGTTGACTTTTCTTCTTGCAAAGCTTGAGCCTCAAGACTTGGGCTCGAGCTCTAGTTTTTGAATTCTTCCAAACTTTACCATTTAAGCTATCAGCTTGCTCTGGATGACCGGCAATGACTCTGTAAGTTTCGATATCATCATAAAGTCCCGGTTTTAATCATTTATCTGGTAAAATACCTATAAACATATATTAAACATAAATCAGTCTAACTATGATAGAAGTATCACTTTAGGCCTTAACATATGTATACTTAGGGGCTCGAATATGCAAATATTCAGTGCTCATGAGGAAGAATGCTCCATTTTCTTGTTTGTCATGTTGACACTTGTGGGAGAATAGGGTTTCTCCTTTTTTTCTTGGTTCGTGTTAGGGACTTTATAAAGAGTGAGTCTCTTTTTTTCGTTGCCCTGTACACGGTGTTGGGGTTGGTTGGTCCATGAGAATCACCATTGTTATCTTGAGTCCTTGGTGAGGATTTGATGCATTTTAGTCGACTTAAAATTCTTTCACTTACATTCTCTTTTTCTCTCTATTGTAACTTTGTAAGGTATATGTATGTATAATGGCAGCCATGGTTGAGAACAAAATTTGGAGCCAAAATCAGATTTAGATCGGTTTCTCTACATTCGATATCATCAAATTTATCAATAGATGAAGCAATTCTCGCATTTGAGAGACCCGATTCAAACTCTCTCCCTTCACTCACCCAATACCAAGTTCGACATCTCATCAAACTCATAAACTCACCTCCTTCGATGCCGACGACAACCGCCGCTTTGCAGCTCCAAAAATCCCAGATTCAGAGTAGGGCTAAACACAAACCCAAAATTGATTTTGCCAAACTCAGCCTTTTAACTCACAGATTCAAAGAAGCTGTATATAATCATCCATAAAAGCGTCTTATGGAAGAAATAGGTAGACCTTTTTAGGGAGTTTAGGATTAACAGAAGAGTTTGTAAAGACACGTGATAGAACTGCCTCCGCCTTTGCCGTCAGACACGACGTGGGTGTCCGAAGATATATATATATATATATATATATATATATATATATCGTGGATAACATTTGGAGATCTAATTTGGAGGAGGTTAAGAAGAGTAGGGTTGGGAGGGAGAAGCATGAGCCTAGGGTGTTCCAGGAAAGGGCTAAGAGAGTTAAGGATGATAGAGGTGATGGTGGTGGGAGGCGTGAAAGATTGGGTCTTCTGAGAAAGAGATAGAGGGAAAAGACCTACAAGGGGAAGCAGGTTTAACCCGCAAAAATTGGTATTGCTCAATTCATTTTTGTTTTTAGTATTGGGCACGTGGCGCAATAATATGTTGCCATGTCAGTAGGGAGATAAACTTTATCCTTCTTGCGCAGGATGGAAGTATTACTCTTCTATCAATACTCTACACGCGTGCGCGCGTATTTTCTCTCTCCCTCTCACTGCTATTTTCTCTCGCTTACGTCATTATTCCTCCTTTAATAAATTTTCTCTCCTCTCTACAGCTCTCTCTCATTGCCCTTCACTCTTATAATTAAATATTTCATAAATTACATAAAATGAATACTATAAATAATTATATGTGTGTGTGTGCGCGCGCGCATATATATATATATAAATATATATTTTTTCTTTCACTATTAGTCTCACCCCGGCCTGGGATGGCTAGCACGCCACCAACAAGACGACAATGCCCTCTCTAATGCCCAAGTGCCAAACCAAGATAGTAAACAAGTCCTACCCACATCATAGTCACTAATCAAAGCATAATTTGGTTAGGAGAGGAGTGAGAGGAAGATTTGACATGGACGATTTCTTGATATTTGACCTAATCAAGCGGTTTGAACATATGCAATAATACTTTTATTAACAATTTTCTTTACGACAGTAAACTATATTTTTATTGAATATCAACAATGCTGTATTTGGTGTGTGAATGAAATAGGATGAGAATGGAAATGAGATGACTATTCTCATTCTATTATTTAGTGATATTATATATATATATATATATATATATATGAAAGAAGACATATTTATATGTTATTGTTCTACATCAGCATACTCACTAGTAGGTTGGTCATCCTACCGACCACACAAATGTAATCTGTAATTATAAAATCTGAAAAGTAATAAATATAAAAATCAGAGAAGTTGTTTGAATTTATTTCAAAAAAAAAAAAATTATTATCTTTATTTATTAATTTCCTAATTTTGTAATTAGGATTTATTTGTACATGAGTGATTGGAACACATCATCAATGACCGGGTGACTGAATTTTACTTTTAATATTTTTACTAACATTTTAATTTTTAACTAAGTGAATTTTACTTTTTTTATTTCTTTTAGGGTTTAGGGTTTACCGAAGCTGCACCAACGCAAAGGCTTCCAGCAAAGTCCACAGTCGCAGAGAGATCAACGGAATTGGCGAAGACAATGATCAGCATTATTACTCAAGTGAGCCACAATTTCTAACCTAAGCTAAGCTATTACTCTATTCAATTACTCTCTCTCTCTGTCCATGTGAGTATGTTTGTGTGAAGAGTATTTTTATACATTGATGTTGGGAATTTCTCAGGAGCGTCTACTTGTGGCTGCATTGGGAAGCGCGTTGACTGGGTTCGTTGTATTCGATCAACGCAAAAGCATCTACAGATCGATTTCAGCGAACTAATCCCAATTTGTTACTCAATCTCAGGTACAATTCAATTTTCTCTTTTTATAAATTCATTTTTGGTTTGTGAAACCCTACTACTGATGACTTCTCCATTTTTTTTTTTAACGAATAATCCTTATAATTTGTGTTAGAACATCGTCTATTTAGGGATTCGAATTGCGTTATTCAGTTTTTAAGTGTCGGCATGGTGTCTTAGAAGGAGAGGTGGGGTTAAAGACTTGATTGAAAATTTAAAATGGACAGTTGAAGAAATTGCTAAGAAATGTCGAATGCCCTGTTTTTAAAATTTTTATTTTTTATTTACGAAGGGAATATAAATAGGTGTTGCCCATTCTTTTTTTTTTTTTTTGTTCTTTTAATTGGTACTTACGTACACATCTCTTATATAAAAAGAGGCATTAATTTGTTACAGCCAACTCATTGACTTCAAGTGATTATATATAGTTGTGCATAACAAAATAAAGTCACTGTTCTTTTCTCAAAACAAAACTAACAAAAGCAATTTATTTAGCCCTTCTATATGGTGGTAGGATATCTGTTTGATATTGAATTTTCTGATACTGTTAATGACATAAATAAATAAAAACAGTTGTGAAGATAATATGGCAAATTAAATTAAAAACTTTAAAAAATACAAGATTATATATATATATATATATATATATATATATATATATATATATATATATATTAGTAGATCAAAAGAAAGCAAGATTGGAGAAGAGAGCAGGATTGGAGCGGGTTTGGCTAAACCCGTCCCCGCCCCGTCTGTTTAGTGACAAATCCATACCCGCCCCGTGCCCCGGGACGGGTTGAATTATCAAGTCCATCCCTGCCCCGTTGGGAGATGACAATACCCGTGCCCGCCCCGCCTACCCTGTTAACATTTTTTTTTCTTTCTTTTTTGACTACTGGAATAACATATATATCAATCCATTGGCATATGCGGTTACCCATGTCTTCCATAGTACTGAAAATTATGAAAAAGAAAAACCAAACAAACAAATAAACAATTTACCTTTGGTGTATTCATCAAATTAGCAAGAGAAAAAAATTTCAACCAAACTCCCAGAAAAATCAGTACCAAAATACTATATGTAGAATCAGCAATTGAAAAAAATAAGAACAAACCTAAATCGACTCAAAGAGCACTAATAAAGTCGTCGCTAGTGTCTCTCCCTCTCTCATGAATTGTGAAATGGTAAATTGAGTCCAGACAACAACTAATCGACTAAAAAATAATGGATTTTCTTCTTACCAATCTCTCTCCCACTCTACTCCTTCGTCAGAAGACAAACCCACCACTATTCACCACCACAACCCTCTTTCTCCTCACTTTTCTCCATTAACAAAACCCAGATCTTCTCTCTAACTTGTGTTGCGCAGGTCACCCAAACCTCAAGTACGCAGAAAAACTTGAAGAGAATCAAGAGATCTTACCAGAGATTCAAATGAATCATCGATCTCAACTGCCTAAGTGGACCGAGAGTTTGGTTTTTGGGTAAGATGCGCCGACCCCTATGATGTGAACTTGCAGATGTGGAGACACTACTACTATGCATTAGGGTTATAACTTATATAGAGTAACTTTTATATATATATATATATATATATATATATATATATATATTAAAATTTAAAGAATTATATATAACGGGGCGGGGCGGAGCGGATATGAATCAAAACCCGTCCCCGCCCCATGACCCGCGGCAGGTACAAAAAATGTATCCATACCCGCCCCGACGGTATAAAATTTGTTTCCATATCCTGTTATTAACGAGGTGGGACGGGGCGGAGCCCCGGCGGGGCGATAAAAATTGTCATCCCTAGCGAGATGGGTGGGATGTTGGGCCTATATAAATGATTGAAAGCAACGTGGATTCCATACTTACCTGGACGGGGTCAATGGGCGATCAACAAGGCCCATGGCCTAGGTTGGCGACCTCCATTGCACTTAGGAGGGGCGCCCGCCTAAGGTCAACCCAAGTGGTTGAGCCTACGTCATAATTTGTGGTAGTGGGGGCCTGCGTTCGCGCGGCCCCGCCCGATTCAGTAAGCCCAATATTTTTATTTATCTGAAAGCCTAATAGTTGTTGATTATTGAGCTGAAATCAATAAAGCCCAAACTCAAGGCCCAAGAGCGAGCCTGTTTTCTGACATTAAAAGGGAAATTAGTTATTACAATATATGGTAGAATAATTCAAATCAAAGCAATTAAAATGAATCATCGAACTCATTCTCAATATGTGTGTGTATAAGCTTACCAGATCTGAGAATAGAGATTATATTAACTTCAGTGCACTCCAATGGCTTCCCTCTTCGTTTGGGTTTTTTTCGATCAACCAGAGAGACCCTAGAAACAATGGGTAAACATTTTAAAGAGGCATGTTACATATAACTTCAACGACGTAATATATTTTGGTGGAACCCACTTACTTATCTTGCTTCTGGCCCTTCGATTTCAAGAAATTATAATTACATAAATTCCAATTATTGGTGTAGATGCACCTAGGTCACCCATTTTTGCTGCTACTACACAGTAAGCAAATTTAATTTTGGAATTCTGATTGATTTTCCACCAATTTTACAAACTATTATTGTGTTATAGAAGGTTGTTGAACCTTACATATGGCACTTTACCTTCTCCACGCAACGTGGGATCACAACATCATATCACATCAGTACACAAAAATCGTCATAAATAACTTTCAAAAAAGAGATGGAGAGAATTAGCCAAATAGAAAAAGAATAGAACGAAAAGAAAATATATAAACATATATTTTACATTTATACATTTTTTTGAAATAGATACTATTGTAAAGAATTACAAAATTATTTAATTTAAAAATTATTATCAAATTGTCAATGAGGATTTTACAGGTGGGACCATGTAAAAAAATGCATACAATGTTAAAGGTTTTTTATTATTATTATTATTTTGGAGGGGGATTTATAACATGAAAGGCTTTAAGAAGAATAAAGCACCTAAATTAATACATATTTTGTCGGATTCTCAAAAGATTGATAATACAAGCATTCATATGCACTACAACCGTTTTGGAGTGAATTTTGTATTTTGTGAGCCGATTAGACACAAGTCACACAACTAATCAATTACAATAATAGTGTTCTATATAATGTAAATCTTACGTGATATTATCTTATGAATAATTATCGAATATTTGTGCTTTTGCATTGACATGTGCATGTTAAGGTTGTTTTAGCTCATGTAGGCTTGGAATGTCTACTTTGGTCTTTCAATTACTTAGATAAGTGGATCAAATGTCTACTTCGCAAAATTGCCCAATATCAAAATTAAAAATCATTTCCTTTGTAATTTGCAGTGTTAAAAAAATTTAAGCATTTTTTTCTCAACAATATAAATGTGCCGGATTAATTAAATTATAATTTAGAGCAAAGAAAAAAAAATTGCCATATATGCAAAATATATAGTGTTTTTTTAGTGTTTAATTTCGAAAATGAAATTGATATCTTTAACAATTTATCGATGTATCATAGTATCCAACGAATTTATATTTAATGCATATCAAATAGGATTTTTCAAATCAAAACATGAAATTTAAGAAATATAGGACATAAGAGAGTATTTTTCTATACAAAGGATATAAGGGTAGTCTGATATTTCAATTCACTCACCAAAATTAGTAATCGAATTAAAACATGATAGTAATCGAATTTTAAAATTTGACTAAACTACAAATAAAAATCAAAGTTGCATACCCTAATTTTGATAAACAAGATTTGTCATTCTAACTATTCTTAGACCTGAATAAAAATAAATAAATAAAATTAACAATTCTATTAGAAAGAGAAAATTTAAGATTCATGCTTAAATTTCATTACTTGGCAAGGGAGAGGAGGCTATCAACCAGAAAAGGACTTGAAAAAAGAGTAAGTACTAATATGCTATTAACTGGCTTTAAAGCTATCCAGCCATTCCGAAGGAACAACATTCTACAAGGGATTACTAGACCTTCAACACGTAGGTAGGCAAATAAGAACCAGCATTGTATCTAAAACCAGAAATACATCAATCCTTCCCAAGCATTGCTCGTACCCGCATTGGAAGTCCATATAGCCGAATGAATCCAGCAGCATCCGCTTGATTGTAGATCTGCCCGCTCTCGAAGGATGAAATATCTTGCCTGTACAGGCTATAGGGGCTTTTCAGACCTGCTACTGTAACGGATCCTTTGTACAGTTTGAGAGTAACTGTTCCAGTTGTCGTTGCAGTGATCTTCTCCATGAAAGCGTCCATGGACTCACGAAGAGGGTCGAACCACCGGCCTGCATACACCAGCTCGGCATATTTAAGGGCGAGGGAGTCTTTAACTTGTATTGTCTCCCGATCAAGTGTAAGAGATTCGAGTTCACGTGCAGCGGTGAAGAGGATGGTCCCACCAGGAGTTTCATAGACTCCACGGCTTTTCATTCCAACAAGCCGATTTTCAACCATGTCGATGCGGCCAATCCCATGTCTTCCGCCTATTTCATTTAGCTCAGAGAGAAGAGATGCAGGAGAGAGCTTCTTTTTGTTGACCGAAACAGGAAGTCCTGATTCTAGCTCAATTTCTACGTATCTGCAGGAATTGAGAGCACGGAAAAGGAAATTTAACAATGTGTGTAAAACAAAGAACATAAATCAATTGAATTCATATTAGAAAGAAAACTTACTCGGGTTTGTCAGGTGCATCTTCTGGGTCAACACTCATCATGTACATATCCTTCTTTGGTTCATTTGCTGGGTCCTCGAGAATGTCCCCCTTTATTGTCACATTAGATAATGGGGCAAGCAGAAAATTAATTATAAGTTTGAAAGGAATTTTACAATTACAGTTTATTTCTAAAAGAAGTTCAAATAATAACATTGACTTCCAGAAGTTTGACCCTCGTTAGATAGATATCAGACACATGAAGGAGTTGCACTAATTGGTAACCGAAGTCTGGCACCGTGTCTCTTTCAATTGATTAAAAAACTATTCCCTAACAAGTTCAATAAAATCCAAGATCCCATACAACCAGCAAACATACAATGCTTACAAGACTGTGGACACCTTAAGACTGTTTACCATCCAAGCTTTTCCTAGCCCACTTTAGCCATTGGAAACAGACATGGATTCCTCATAAAGTCATGACCAAAAATGTCGGAAGAACATTAAACATTTCTATTCTTGAATTCATAATGTTATGCTTAACATCTGAATGGACTGGTCAGTTTGAAGATATCCCTTAAATATAATACTAAAGGACTTTTTTTCTTGATAATTCTAAGCGAACACATCTCAAAGGTTATAGACACTACAATAAGCGGGTTAACACCCAGAGGTTCGATTCTTGCCCCCAGGAGTTTTACTTATAAAAAACACAAAGAAGTTGGTTAACAAACAATCTCCAGCAACAATTAAGATGCAATAAGGCACAATATTTTTTTCCTCCAGTCCTAATAGGCGACTCAAAAGGAAAAATTGTTACTCAATATCAATGAGAATAAAAAAAAAAAAAAAAGAGTCTAGGGCATAAATGTGCAAAAAAATTATATTTGCAACCATGGTACAATAACAAATAAAAAGAATAAAACTTCGCCAACTACTTAATGCAGAAGGGGAATATACAATAAGCATCCGAACTTCAAAAAGTAAAGGCAGAATACCTCATGACTCAGGTGCCACAGGTTCCTGTCTCTGCTGTAGATGGATTTCTTCGTTACTGGAACAGGCACATTATGTTTCTTAGCATATTCAATAGCATCCTCTCTCCCTTCTATTTCCCATTCCCTCCAAGGAGCCACAACATTTAGTTCAGGGTTTAGAGCAAAGAAAGTGAGCTCAAAGCGAACCTGTGTAATAAGGCAGAAACGATAGTTGGTCATAAAAAATACAAGAGCTGCTATGTTATATTCTCAAAAATTAAAGATTTTTATTAAGAGGTGCTATAAAATTGAGAGCACAATGCCGAAGCATGCCTGATCATTCCCTTTCCCTGTGCATCCATGAGAAACAGCATCAGCTCCCACTTCTTTAGCAACATCAACCATGGCCTGGCATTGCGAATAAAGGATGGAAGTTGTATAACTAAAACAAGAATAAACATAAATTTAACATAGCAAAATGCAGATTTGAGAGATAATAAAGAGCCAAGCAGCAGTAAGGATCCACTCCAAAAAACAAGGAAAACCTTTTTAATTTAATTGAAAACAAAGAAATAAGGCAATAACCTAAGGGTCCCACATTGTGAAACAATAAATGAATGACAGAACACCTGATGGGGAAATACACACTTGCGGAAAAGCTGCAAATAAGCATCCATTTCCAGTGTCCAAGTTGACAGTGTTCAAAACAGCCTCAATTATACACCAGATTGGCTTGAAGTAAATTACTACATAAAGTTCAATTGCTCTGACAATCTATGGCCCATAATCATTAAACCATCTAAGAAGCTTTTCACCACCCAAGCATCCATATATAGAAAAATGACAACTTTTTCAATCTAATCATTGAAACTATGCCTTTCCAGATAAACCTTATCTCTGTGTTTCACTCCCTCAATAAATAGAGTAATCATTTTTATGTTTCTTTCGAAGATGTTCAGTTAGGTTTCTGAGAAGTCTATCTGAATTCAATGGAAGAACTAAATCAATATAGGGTACTGTATTCATCTCTGAGGCATGATATTATGAGCCAAAGAGCCAAACTTCAGAGCCCCATTTAATACTGGGGCCTTACTCGTATGCCCTTTTAATACTCCCTCCCTCACTCAATTAGGAGAATAATCATTTTTAGTTACCACTAAAAAAAAAAAAAAAAAAAAAAGGAGAATAATCATTCTTATGTTTCCTTCGAAGATGTTCAGGTAGGTTTCTGAAAATTCTATCTGAAATCAACAGAAGGACTAAATTGATATAGGGTGCTGCATTCATCTCTGAATCATTCTATGGCGTGCCAAAGAGCCAAACTTCAGCCCCAATCAACACTAAGGGTTACTCATATTTCCTTCTAATTCTCTCTCTCTCTCTCTCACACACACACACAAAACAATGAGAACAATCATTTTTACTTATCAGAAAAAGAGAAAAATTAATTTTTATGTTTCCATCCCAGATGTTCAGATATGTTTCTGAAAGGTTGATCTGAATTCAACAGAAAAACATGGGTGCTGCATTTATCTTTGAAACATGTATCACGAGCCAAAGAGCCAAACTTAGCTATGTTCTCTAACAAATCTTGTTACTGAGTAACATAAACATGGTCTTATTTTGACTAGCAATAACCAAAACTTGAAACATTTTGAATAATAAATGAATAGGACTGCTGAACACATGAAACTTATACAATTGATATTTTAAATAAAATATCAGCAATATGAAGACTCTTTTGAGACTATTGAGAAAATATAAGGGTCATATTGATGATAGAAGAGAAGAAGAATGTTTATGTTTTACTTATCAAAAAATAAAAGAAAAGAAGAAGAAGAAAGAACAAGCAGGATCTCCTAGTCATCTTCAGAGGAAAAAAGATTCCTCAATTTCCTTACTAGATAACAAAGGTAACTCCTTCCACAGCCATGCCTATTTTCACCCATAAGTGCACGTGCAAAAGGTGGTAAAATTTTAAAAGATAATCAACAGAAGCAATTGCACGTGTCAGGCACTATCTATCATTCCTCACCTTGGCAATAACAGGGCGGGCCATTGAGGTCCCTAGCAAGTACTTTCTTTCATAGATTGCACCAGCTCTCAAACAAGGATATATGTAATCCTTCACAAATTCCTCCTTCAAATCCTTCACCACCAATTGACAAGCGCCACTTGCCTTGGCCTTTTGTTCCAAACCTTCCAATTCCATCACACCCTGTAACATTTAGTACCATGTAAAAAGGACATGGTAAAACAATCAGGGACTCATGAAAAAGTTCGTCATACTTTTGCATGAGTGAGAATAAATCAACCATATCTTACACTACTCTTTATTTTAAGACAATCCAATGCCAAATAGATATCAAAGAACAAGTTAAACAGAAAAATAGTAAGTGTTTCTCTTTATAGCATACCTGACCAACATCTGCAGTGAAGCAAACAACCTCACAGCCATAATTCTCCCTGCAATGTGCAAATTGAATCAAAATTATGAGATACAGAAGCAAAAATACTTTACAAGTAAGAACACCTAAATACACTCCTAGTAACAAAAGTATGGAACGTATCAACATGAGGTAGACATAAATTTCATCTGCGGAATTATGCAGTCTGTGAAGCATAGATGACCAGCAGGAAGTTTAAATATAGTGCATGCTCAGACCTGCACAGGCTCTCACCAGAGCATCTATTGCTAACCCTTCACATCATATAAATATTCAGAAATTTTCCTGAACTCAACCTCGCATTCCCAATTCTACAAGAGAACATGTCATGTCTATTTTCACCCTCATCCAATGCATCTATAATGCCCATATTCAACACATTTAAAGATGAAAACGCCAAACCTCACAAGGAAGGATACTTGTTCTTGTGATAAAAGAAGATATGTCATTACCATGATTAAAAATACACAACAATAACCGCACCTTAGCCATGGGACAATAACTGATGTATCTAAGCCACCACTATAGGCTAAAACCACCTTATTCAATTTTCCACGTAAGGCTCTCCCTTTTGTAGCACTAGAACTTTCCGTCTCTTTGTCACTGGCCAAAACTGCTTGAATAACTGCACTTTAAGACCAAACAAGTAGGCTAAGATATGCAGGAAACAAGAACAAACAAAACCTCAGACAAAATAGAGAAAAAAGCTTGGAATACACCCTAGGAATATCCCAGAAATATGCCATTATGTATAATGTTATATTATTAGACCATCCAAAAATCCAGATATCTCTCAATCTTGTCAATATTCAGTAAGAAGAGGATGGAAATGTTGAATTCGAAGATTTGAATTAAAACTCACAATTCACTCCATGATTTGTGATTATTAATTAAACATATACAATTTTATAACACAAGAAGGCTGATTTCATATAAAAAAAAATTACTGAAGATTGATGGATTATGAACAATGCAAAAACAAAACAAAAGGTAGATCCCCACTAGAAAAGCACAATATCAAGAAAAGGCATATATTAATTGTTACTAATAATGGGGGCAAAAGTCTAGGTTTCAACTAAATAAACACCCACCACCATGGGCGGAGCCACCTGTGGGCTAACCTGGGCTACAGCCCAGGTCCAAAAAAAAAAAAAAATTTACTAGTACTATTACCAATCAGCTATAGCCCAGTCCAACTTTCCCAATCCATGGCCCAGCCCACTAGGCACTAGCCCTTATCGACCTAACTATTCAAGACTTCAACGCATACTTCTGCTACACGAATGAGTTCACTGATACATACAAATCATACATGATACAACTATACAAGGCCACAAGGGTTTGAATACAGAAGACTGAAACACTAAATGATTAAATCCCATGAATCACCCAGCCACTTGAGCTTCGGAATTGGACCAGAGTCACCAGAAGATTGAAGACTTGATTACTTGAAGACTCGGATTAGAATGGAAAACATGGGCCATGATCTTGTAAGTTGTAAGTGCTCAAATTTAGATTATATATATATATATATATATATGAATTTGTATATGGAATTGACAAATTGTGCATATTAAATCTATCTTTCAAATATAAAAATAGATATATATTAATATATATATATATAGAGATTTGCATACTTTAATCTAGGGTTTCACTGTTTCAGTTACTTTTAAATTTGGGATTTTTTTATTTTTTTGGGAGAATTGAAACTTAGGCTTTTATTAGTTTATACATGAGCCCTGTTTGGTGCACCCGAACACATATCTACTTTGTCTATTGGCTGTAGCATGATCTTATGTTCCAATTTCAAAGCCCTGTTAGGTGCACCCAAACACATAGATGATTATAGAAGATCACAAAGCCATAAATCATATTTCATAAGGTGAATGTTTATTGATGGTGGCATTAAACAGAAACACAACCCGACAATAAAAACATGAGTTATGAACTTATGTGAATCAGAAACAAATTATGAGAAAATAATATAAAAGTATGATATATTTGCATACATTTGTTTGTTTTGTATCTGTGTGAGTTAGAGTGAGTTGAAATAAATTTCAATAAAAGTTTTTCATTTCTTTCACAATACACAGACCTCAATAATTTTTTTTTTTTTTTTTCTTTTTCCTGCTCCAGCTCTATAGGTGATAGGCCATTAGGTGTGCCCTTTATTTTTGTTTGTTGAAGCACCACACGGTAGGAATTTTCCACCTTCAAGATGAAAAATTTGTTTTCGTTTTATAAACGGAAAGATGATAAATCGGAAATTGGGACAACTTCTACGAGTACGAGTACCCGTCCTGAGACTACAAACTCTAATGAGCAGCAACAAGAGCCTCCTTCAAAAATTCCAAGAGTTGAGCAAACAGAGGTTGATGATATGTCTTTTATACGAGATCCTGGTTTGCGTCTTCAAATATGGAAACACCCCGTTAATGAACGTGATGAGCTTCGACGAAATTATATCTTAAGGGAACCTTATCAACCAAAACTCCCTGTGTTTCCTTCCACTCAAGATAGAACTCAATCTCGTCGATTTCAAAGTAGTTGGTATAAAAAATTCACTTGGATTGAGTATTCTCCTACGAAAAATAAAGTATATTGTTGCCATGTTTTCTCTTTGAAACTAATCCACCATCCCGTCCTGCTTTTACTGTCGAGGGGTTTAATAGTTGGAAAAGGGTTAATGATGGATCTAGGTGTGCTCTTTTGCAACATATGGGAGGTCCTAATTCATTTCACTTGTGTGCCGTAAGAGCTTCAGATGCTTTAATGAATCCTTTACAACATATTGACAGAGTGTTGAATGTATCATCTCGAGATGTGGTAGAAAAGAATCGATTACGCCTTAAGACAACAATTGAAAGTGTTCGGTGGCTTGCATTCCAAACACGTGCATTTAGAGGTTATGATGAATCCGTTGAATCTTTGAATCGTGGCAACTTTATTGAATTCATAAAGCATTCAGCAAAGTTAAATAACAAAGTTGCTGAAGTTGTCTTAGAGAATGCACCAAAAAATGCAAATTACCTCTCGCCAATGGTTCAAAAAGAGGTTTTACATATTCTTGGCAATAAGGTGAAACGTAAGATTCGTGAAGAAGTTGGGGATGCAAAATTTTGTCTTTTGGTTGATAAAGCACAAGATTTGTCTAATACAGAGCAAATGGCCATTGTATTGAGATTTGTTGATAAGAATGGTTTGCTTAGAGAACGATTTTTTGGAGTTGTAGGCGTTAAAGACACCACTGCCTTAACTCTTAAAAAAGAAATATCAGATGTCCTTGCTCTTTATGATCTCCAAATTGATAACATGCGAGACCAAGGGTATGATGGAGTGAGCAATATGCGTGGGGCATGGAATGGATTACAAGCGTTGTTTCTTAAAGAATGTCCATATGCATTTTATGTACACTGTTTTGCTCACCAACTACAACTAGCATTAGTTGCTGCATCCAAAGATGTGCAAGATATATGGCTATTCTTTTCCAAGTTGAATTCTATTGTCAATCTTGTCAGTGCTTCTCCTAAGCGTCATAGCGAGTTACAATCAAGTCAAGTGATTTTATCCGCTAATAAGTTGGCTACTGGTGAACTTCAGAGTGGTAAAGGAGCTAATCAGATTAAGACTTTGCAACGAGCAAGTGCCACTCGATGGAGCTCTCATTTTGGTTCTGTTAGTAGTTTGATAGACTTATTTGGTCCATCTCGTACAATTATTGAAAATCTTTCAAAGAATGGACCAACTAATTCTATACGTGGGGAAGCAAAAGGTGTTTATCTTGCAATGCTATCATTTGAATTTGTATTTATCTTGCATTTGTTGCGTGAGATGATGGGAATTACTGATATACTTTGTCAAGCATTGCAACGAAAAACTCAAGACATTTTAAATGCTATGAGCCTTGTTTCAAGTACGAATGCACTCCTTCAAAATTTGAGAGAAAATGGGTGGCATACTTTCTTTCAAAATGTGGAATCATTTTGTAAAGAGCATGACATTGTAGTACCTGATATGAGTGCTTCTTATACGGTGGGTACAGGTCGTTCTTGTTAACAAAACGATAGTATTACATTTAATCATCACTATCAAGTTGATATTTTCAATGCTGCTATAGATTTTCAATTGATGGAGTTAAATCAAAGATTCTCTGAAAGTACAGTGGAACTCCTTATTCTTGGCACAGCTTTGGATCCTAAAGATGCTTATAAATCATTTAAAGTTGATGATATTTGCGATCTTGCAGGGAAATTTTATCCTAAGGATTTTCAAGATGAGATGCGTGCTTGAAGAAGCCAATTGGAGCATTATAAGATTGATGTACTCCATCATCCGAGTTTTCAGAATTTGTCCACCATTTCTGATTTATGCAAAATGCTAGCTGAAACAAGAAAGAGGGAAACTTATTATCTGATTGATAGATTGATTCGTCTCATATTGACTCGTCCTGTTTCTACAGCAACAACAAAACAAGCTTTTTCGCCAATGAAGCGTGTCAAAACTAAACTTCGCAACAAGATGGCCAATGAATTTCTTGCAGATTGCATGATTCTCAACATTGAAAGAGAATTTGCTGAAGATATTGATATAGATTTAATAGTTAATGAATTTGACTCTCTTAAAGATCAGAGGGTTCATCTTCAATAACTTAGGTTCATCTTCAGTAGGTTACTTAAGAGAATGCTATATATGTTTTTGTATCCATCTGTGATGTATTTGATTTAATATATAAGAACATCATCGTTTTTTTTTTTTTTTTTTCTTTTTTGAATATATATAACATATATTTGTCATAAGAATTTTTGTGTTCATTTTCAATTTTTTTTTTATCTTTAGCCCTCCCCACTTTAGAATCCTAGCTCAGCCCCTGCCCACCACCATGTTTACAATGTAAAATGTCATCAAAGCAAAGATCTTTTTCCTCTTACTATTCCTTTATATATTATTAAAAAAAAAAAAGAATCATGAACATTGACCACTAGATAAAGACATGGACTCAATAGAATTTCATAATTTAAAACCAGAAGAAGAACACACATATATATGATCAAAAGAAGACCACAAACAATTAGCTTGATACCATGATTGTTAGAGGCCCGAACAATATTCCTACTGTGACCAGCAATTGCATGCCCGCTAAGCTCACTCGCTTTTGCCCCTAACTGGAATTAAATGGAAAAATAAATAAATAATGCCCAGGCAAATTTTGAATCTACATTGCAACAAAATCAAAGCAAAAGTGCAAACAAAGATCTCATCAAGAGGAGAAAAACCAAAAAAAACAAAAACAAAAACAAAAAAATACGAAAAGCCCAAAGAGATAATCAGAATAGCTACCTCTAGACACGAAGACTGCTTCTTTGAACAGTACAAGTTACCATGATGCGGAAAGGGCTCTGTAAATAAAATCAAGTTCGCATAAAAGCTAATCAGAAAAGAAGAAATGAACATAATATATATGTATATCATATACAACCATTCTGATTGAAGTATGAATGCGTAAAAAGAGATATATATATATATATAGATATAGAAGGTGTGAATGCGTACCTCTCTTGGATCCATGGAAAAGAAGATTGGCGGATGAACAGGACGTAATGGCCTGCAACTGAGCCATTGCTGTGCAAAATTTTTGAACTTTCTGTCTCTAAATCACACACACACACACCCTCTCTCACAGAACCTAAACAGCTGCTTGAACGTGAAAAGGCTTGCAAGGGATTAGGGTTTTAGGAGTTGCATTTCGTCTCTCTTATACCACAGTAGGCCCCACAAAGCAACTTTTGTGACCAAGTTGTCCAAACCTCTAATAACTGTGATTGGTCCGCAGACACACGTGTTGAAAAAATTACCTTCAAATAGTGCATAAATCCCTCTTTTATTTATTTATTTTTGTGCAAATAAAACTTTCAAATAGCAAAATAGAAAAGGAATTAAAATGTCTCTGAATACATCTTTCCACACCTACTTTACCTTTTGATAAAAAGAAAATTTTGATTTCTTAAAAAATATTTGATAAAATAAAATAGGAAGGATTCATTAGATAAAGATGAAATAAATTATAATATTATACATATTATAAATTATAATATTGTCTTCTTTGTATTATAATATTATAGATATTAGAGAATATAATGATAAAAATATTTTAAAACTTTTAATTTCTTTCTCTCTTAACAATCATAATAAATTGTCAACTACATGCAATATCTTTACTAGGAATATCTTATTCATCCATTTTTCTCTTGCTTTCATCCAAAATTTTTTTTCTTACCAAACAAAGTATCGAGGTTTATTTCCTATAATGGCTCCACCGGTGAATATAATTTGAGATTGTAGGGGAAAAACATAAAAATGGTCTGTTGATACGTTAATAAATAAAATTAAAAATTAATGTTTATTTAAATGGAACTAGTTGCACCAGGGTGGGGACACACATTTGATTGTCATTAAAAATTAGGTAAGGAGAATTACTAATTACAGTCGCTCTTCTTCCACAATTGCGTTTCTTATTAGTTACCATTTCTATAATTACATGTTCATTTATGAGATGTTTTCTACCTTTATAAAAATTAAAAATATAAATTTTTAAGATAAAATTACCCTTTAACTTTTTCTTATCTCTCACTTTTTATTTCCCTTTCCTTAGTTTTATTCCTTATATCAATAACATTCTATATTGTCAATATATATATATATATATATATATATATATATATATAGTTAAAATATAATATAAAATATAAATATATATATATATATATATATATATATATGCGCTCTATATGGAGTTACGTTCAAAACCTATTCATATATATAGTTTTGTTTTTCTAATTTTTTTTTTTTCTCTCCTCACTTAATTTATGTACATGTATATATATAATATGTAATATATATATACATATTATATATATTTATATTTTATATTATATTTTAACTATATATATATATATATATATATATATATATATATATATATATATGCGCTCTATATGGAGTTACGTTCAAAACCTATTCATATATATAGTTTTGTTTTTCTAATTTTTTTTTTTTCTCTCCTCACTTAATTTATGTACATGTATATATATAATATGTAATATATATATAAAACTTCCTATACGTATAAGTAATTTTTTTTTTCTCCTCACTTAATCAATGTACATGTATGTGTATGTATATATATACATAAACGTATAAATTTTTTAATGTCATTTTAGAGCACGTATATATAGTTAAAAATAATTTTTTTTTAAAAAGTAATAAAATAATCAATTCTCATAATATTACTTGTTTTGGCAAATCCAAAAAGAAAGAAAATAATATATTCCAGTTTTTTTTTTTTGACAATCTAAAATGTTATATATATATACAGACACACACACACTATGTATATATGTGCATCTAACGGTTTGTATATATGTATACCAGAGGAGAGGGGAATAAAAGGGGAGAAATAAGAAAAGGCTAAAGGGTAATTTTGTCTTAAAATTTTATATTTTTAATTTCCATAAAAGCCGGGCACATCTCATAAATGAACAAACCCTACTATGGAAGGGTGGTCGTAAGCCTAACTCCAACTAACACTCTTCTTAGGTCAATTATATCATTTTCTTTCACTACTTTTAATGACTTAGAGCATAGTATGTTAAAATATTCTTTTGTGTAAAATATACACTATCATCTATGATGTGTAAATTTTTTTCATCTCCAGTGTTAACCTATATTGCCATATCACCAATGTGTAAAAGGGTTGTTTATTTTAATACATAACCTTTTTACACGGCCAAATCAACATATTTCTTTTTTCATCTCTCTTTCTCATTCCATTAAAAAATCAGCCATATATTAAGTAAGTTTGTAAAAATTATGTGGACCCTGGCATGATACATAATTGATTATTATTAGAAAATATATTTTTACACAAAAGGTATAAAATAACCGTTGGAGCTCAAATTGAATAATTTAAAATTTTTGTGTAAAACCATCATGACACATCAGATTTACACAAAAAAAAAAAAAAATATACACAACGGTTATTTGTTCATTTGTTTAAGTGAGTTGAGATAAATATTAATAGGCAAAAGATGAAAGTTGTATTGATTAGTTAATATTCAATACTAGTATTTAGTACAAAAACGTGGAATAAGGACTTTTAATGGAGGTGGAATGAAAAGTTTTAAAATGAGTTAATTCTCCCCCCGAAATCTCATTTTAGCTAAGTCTAATAATATAATAAGAAAATAATAAGAGCATCTCGAATTATTATGTATTTATTTTTTTTATGTAAATATAACGTGTCATAATAGATTTATACAAAAATTTTGAATTATTTATTTTTAGCTCTCGCGGTGGTTTCATACCTTATTGGATTATTTATTTTTAGTCCCAATAATAATCAATCAGTGTCATGCTTGGACCCCTCATAATTTTTACAAACCTAATTAATATAGATTAATTCATTAATGGAATAAGAAAGAAGGAGGAGAAAGGAAATATGCTGATGTGTTTGTGTAACTGAAGATAAAAAAAAAATAAAAATAAAAATAAAAATTTACACATCATATGTGACCATGTATATTTTACACAAAAGAGATTTTTAACAGACTGTTGGAAATGTTATAATAAATTGCTGGAAAAAAAAAATAATAAATAAATACACATAATATGTAGAAGGCACACAAAAGAGTTTTTTAACATATTGTTTCTACATTTGCACTCCAATATAAAATGAAATGACTAATCTAACTCTACAGATATCCAACTAAATTTATGTGAGTAAAGGATGATGTCATAATGACCTCATCATATTTAATGACACCTCACATACATAAATCAGATATTGCAATGCATCAACTTTCACATTACTTACCATTATCTATAGGGAAATTATAAATAAAAGTTTTAGCAATTCTAATAATATAAGTAATTAATAATTTGTGGGGCCTTAATATTAAAGATTTTTTTTTTTAAAGAAGTCTAATTATGCATGGAGACAATAATTTAAGGGCCTTTCGAATTTGATAAGACCCTTGAGTTTTTTTATTGTAATGTGAACAGCTCCATGCGTTCTATGACAATTGAAAAAGTATTAATAAATGATATTAATAATGGGGCTAATTTTGCATTCAAATTTCTAACTACCTCCTTAAATTTTGAAAAGATAGAGAATTAGAAGAAGTATTCAGAATTACTTATCTGAAGAAAATAAATAAATAAATAAACATAACAAGAACTTTTTTGATATTTTATTTTACTGACAATAGTAGTGAAACGTTAGAGTACTACTATTTTAGAGCGCCAATATCACGACCCTTAAAATCTTGAAGGCATTAAATCAAACAGATGATCTAAATCTATTTTCTGAGAAATGTGCACATATCGTGTTAGGTTTTGCTATTTAAAAAATAAAATAAATTACTAGCTACATTGTGAAAGACTAAGAGGACCCTGTACTCCTCCTATTCATTCTAAGTAGAATGTTCATTTTGGTTCCAACTCAATGAATTAAATCGAAAAGATTTCACTAAGAACTTATATATTCTAAGCAAATATATGCATGTGATTTTCCAAACTCAGGTTGATTTACATATTCCAGAAAATAATTTCCATCAAAAAATATTCAAAAGGCTGCTTCATTAAATCATGTGTTTGTTTTATTTGCTCATTGCACATTGTCATCAAATTTTCATTTGAGCTATCTAAAGACTTACCATCTCTGCTAACATTGATTGAAATTAGGTCCTTGCCAAGTTTTCCTAGGCAATTTTGTTACAACAAACACAGCGAACCAGCATGTCAGTATATCACAATCAATAAATATGATGTGATGGAAAGTAAACACTAGACACAAAGATGTGGTTCGGCATAAAGCCTACGTCTACGGTGAAGATCCGACGAAAAATTTCACTATTAAAAAAATAAGAGATTATAAGTTTCAGGTCCCAAACTCTCGCACTTTCTAAACTACGGCTTTCAATGTTCTCTACTACCACACTACAAACCTAAATGCCACTGAGTCACCCCTTTCCTTATCAAAATATCTCCCCTAAAAGTGAGGCTCGTTACCTGTATGATACTCGCACATATATTCATGTACACATTCATCAGCTATATGTACTATACATACATGTATTTAGTTTACATGCTTTTGGTCATGTCTTTGTCAACCTCTATCTTACTTCCATTATGATCTTAATAAAGTTATGTCATTAGTACATGATATTCTGAACCCTAGTAGTTACAATCTTAAGACATGAGTTGGAAAAGCTATGTCATTCATTTCAATGGTTTCAAAGAAAAGAATGACTGATCAAGATTATAACTGATCAAGATTATACCAAGGTAATATAAAATCCTTTAGAAGACTTTTCTATCATAGACAACCAGAAGAACACAAACATACAAACCACTTAAGAAGCCGGCGACGGTGTTTGCTCTTCCTCCTGCAATGGCAAACTCTCAACCTTGAGCTTCTTTCCCTTCCCTGTTGGGGGTGGGCAGCTATCCAGAGGCAGTAACTGGCATTGCACCAGATCTAGTAACCGAGACTGCAAATGCTTGTTCATCTTTATTAGATGCTTCGTCATTCTTGAGGCCCAAACTCGACCTTCTATGCTTTTCTCTACCTTCATTTGTATCGCGCCCTGTGTCCACCCATTCTGCCCAAACACGAAAGGGGCAAAATGGTATTTTCAGAGTGCTACTAAATCATGTAGAATAATATGAATATATACACATGGTTAGAATATGTCCACACAGTTCATCTAAGAGATGGGCATTTGTCCCCGCAATTTCATTTGAAAACTTTAGCAAACAAACTTTGCAATGTATTGAAGTTTCCACAAGAACATGCATATATAGAGACAAGCATGTACACAAGCACACAGTGTGTGTGAAAGAGAGAGAGAGAGAACCTCCAACTCAAGAATCTGTTGGTTCATTGAATCAGTGCTTCGAAACTCCGAGGTAAAATGTTGCACTTTGAGGGAAGAACATGATGGTAGAAGAGTCACCATTCCCTTGGATGAGTTTGTTGGCCGAGGAAGTTTATCAAGCGAAGAAACACGGAACTGATTAGAGGCTCTCTGCCTATGGTTCATCACAGGAAGCAATGACAAATGTGGGATCACTACCAAATTAGTTATGGACCCTGCAAAAAAGATGAGAATTGAAATTTTTGATTACGATGAATGAGAGATGGACTAAAAGACAAAACGCATACATACACAAACAGTCAAACACATCTCATGATTAAACAAGAGACAATTGTCACCTTGAAAAGTAGAAAGGATAATTACTCTACAGTTACTCTTCAATGCTTCGTCCGCTTGAAAAGTAAATGGAAAAAAGGATACGTAAAAAGGTTAGATGAGTCATCTCTAGGAAAGTGGAGGTGTCATCCACTCCTTTTGTTTGCTTGAGTGGAAGCAAAGAGGAGGAGTTGACACCTTCCATTGTTTGGTGAGAAGGAAGGGAATTAGAGGTTATATATATATATATTATCACTACATCCTCATTGTCCAAAAGCATGCTAAACATTGATAGGTAATAATGTCACTTTACATTATATACAGTAGTTTTCCTTCTCTTCCCTCCTCTCTTCCATCCAACTTTTGGACAAAAGGAAAATTGTGCGCATGACTCATCCATCAACCCTTCCTTCTACCTGATTGTCCCTTGTACCAAACAATGGAAACCTGCACTGTCATTTCTCTTTTCCCTTCCCCCTATCCCTACCCTCCTACCAAATAAAGCACAAATCATGAATGGTATTATATTAAAATTCCAATCAGCTGAGAAGGTACCCACCCAGAGGGAGGGAAAGAAAATGTTTGAGAATTTATTATCATAATTAGGTGCTATTGTTAGGATTCATGTGAATGTTGTGTAGAATATAAGATTCCGTATCTTGTTCTAGCTCTAAATCTCCAATGCTGTTCAAGAAATATATTCCGATTGAAGTTTATAGGTTATAAGTATGCATGTTAAGCAAAATTTAGTGTCTTCATCATGCTCCATTTTCTTCTTGTTACACCAACTCGAAGAAAAAGAAAGAAAATATAGAAATCAGAAATCAAATACTGAAGAATATTTTTGCCTTTTAAATGGTTGAATCTCCGAATGATCACACAATTAACGACATCCCAAAGGCAGGCAGTGCAGTCCTCCGATGCAGAGATCAGGCCCGATGCACTGAATGTCAGTACAGTTATGGATCCCCTGAAAGGTCAATTGGTGAGTCCCATATTCACTTAACAGTATATGAGTAATAAACAAAAGATACAAACATTACAGGAAATATCATAAAACACACAGATTGGACATGCACTAGCCACTTTACTGCAACCTAACTTAGGCAAGTTGGCGAGTGACCCTTAGAAATTAGAATTAATTTAATTTTACATTTGTTACAGAATAACATATAGAATTAAGTTTAACTTACATTTATATAAATATCCAAACAACATATAAAAACATAATTAAAATAACTCATTTGTTCAAATTCATTCAGAAAAAAGGGCATGATTAACTGAAATCAGGAAAATTGTAGTCACTAAGCAGAAAAAAATTATTCACTAATCTTTTTGATCTATGTCCATGGGAAAAGAGAATTTTATCTCCAATAAATCTCTAACTCTAACAATACATTACTTGTGTCCATTGAGCACGATTGGTTGATTCTCTGAAACATCAAAAGGATCCTCCACTCCTCCAATATCAAGTGCGTTCACAAAAATTCTCCCGTCTTCACTTCCAGAAAACAAAATCTTCTCCAATGGATCAAGAACAATTGCAGTTATTGGATGTGAAAATGCTCGAGTTCCTAAAAGCGTTCCCGTGACAAGGTCCCAAACCTTAAATAATAAAAATAAATGAATAATAAAAAATGATGTCCTTTTGAGTAAGAAAATCTTTAAAAATCGAAGATCGAAAACAAAGAGTACGAGCCATTATGCAAGAAGTAACCTTGCAAGTACCATCAAGGGAGCTTGACAGAAAAACGGAGCTTGAGCTGCTTGATGTAGATAACAGACGAGTTACCGAGGACGTGTGTTTTGCTGAAAAGCTTAACATAGAAGGAAAGCTTCCACAATCTGTCTCGTCTAGCAGACTTCCATCCAAATGGTTATAACAATGTGATATTTTAGAGTTCTTTTTTCCTTTAAAATTTAAATTTCCAATTATTGAACAAGGAACTTTCGAGCATTACCTAATCATAGGCCACACGATTATCGTACCATCTTCCGAACCAGATATAAGAAGAGTACCATCATCAGAAAACACCAAGCAGGTTACCGACTTAAGATGGGCACACCAATTCTTGAGCAGTCTCCCATTTATAACCTACAAGTTACCTCAATCATGTAACATTCTTCATTACAAGTTAGAACAGAATTTAGTTCAAACAGAGGTAATTGTAGCCCATATGAAGTTGACACTCTCATTAATCGAAACAAAAGACAATTAAGCAAAACCAAGCTAATGGTCAACAAATTTCACTGTTAAAGTCTCCGTACACTTCAATATGAGTTCAAGAAAATGAGTCTTATTGACTAGATAGGAGGGAAAAAATAAGCTGTAAAATGTTTGAAATAAAAAGAGCTTACTGACCTCCCAAATATAAGCATTTCCAGAAAGAGTACCACCAGCAAGATATACACCATCCTTTGTGCAGGAGACTGGTCCAATGGCCTCGATTGGGTAGTTCCTTAGTGGTGCTTGAGGCTGGATGTCAAAACAACAAAAAATTAAGTAAAATTTTTCATATGACATAATTGGTGCAAGTAAAATCTCTTGGCAGTCACCCAAAAGGCCTGGGTGTGTTTTCAGCCAAATCGGGTTTCTGCTGCTAGTGTGAGCATTATGTGTTTGTGGGGAAGGGATTTGGCGAAATTGTTCAGAAACCAGAGAAAGTCTAAACATAATTTTATGTGATAGATGAAGGTGGCATATAGAAAAATGGTTATGCTTCAAGGTTACATATTGTGTGTCGAGCCGTCGACCTCACTACAATGCCAATATAATTCCTTCTAATCAGCAATATCGTCTTCATTTAATTAATAACCCAATGATTCAATTGTGAGCATAGAAATCAAAATTCCAATTTATGTACCAAGACAAAAGGATTTTTCGGCCATAGATAGTGCCACAGGATGATAGGAGGCAAACAATGATCTTATCCAACACGAATGCAAGCATTAAGATACCAATTCTTTTAGCAAGTCTTGTTCTGTTTGGAATGAGAGAAGATGAAATCGAGCAAGAGCTACATGAATCTTTTCAGTAAGTAAACGTGAAATATTTATTAAAATTCCCGAATATTCAAGTGATGAATGAATTTCGAGAGTGCCCTACCTATTTGAAGTGGATATGAACCACGCTCAAATGTAACTTCTCTTTAACTAGTGTTCAGACTTCAGACACCAACATAAATCATTATACCATATATCAAATAAAAGGGAAAAAATTGTAGAAACTTGGTATAATATAAAAGCTCGCTTAAGCTCTTTAAAGTAGTCAAAATTTTAGAGCGTGTTTACATTGTGGAGCCAGAAGGAAATGAAAGGAAAGTTAAAGAATGGATGGAAATGCTTTCTCATGTTTGATTTTAGATTGAGTAGGAGCGGGAAAAAAAAAAGTAGGAAAATGAGGGCAAAGGAGGGATTTGTTGTTCTATTATCCTCCACAAGTAGGAGAAATTAGAGGAAAAGAATAAAGAAGTTGGTGATTACCCATTTGCTTATTTCTTATGTCAATTAAGTGATTATTGTTTTCCATCTCTACCAACATAATAAAGCATTCGTTTCCTTAAGGGTGGCAAATTGGCCAGCACCGATGGTTTCCGCCGCACCCACCCTCATGGGATGGGTATGGTGATGATTTAAATTGTAACAAGGCGGGTAAGGTAAAATATAGTTAGCATGGTCTAGGTTCTCGGAAGATTGAGTATATGAGCTTTCCTCTCTGCCCCGCCCCAAGTTTATAACAAAATTACTTCTATACCCCTATTTATATTTAATATTCATTAAGTACCCTTAAGTATATCTAAAGTATGGAAAAAGATAATTCATGTGGCTGACCCCATTCTTTTGAGAAAAGGCAAGATGATGATGATGATCTCTCATCTCAATCTGGCGGCAAGTATCCTGCTCACTCCCCCACTGTCCGCCACCTACTGTGTTTGCTCTTTATAAAGCTCCATCGAGGACTCCTATCAGTCAACTTCCTCTCCAGCCTCTACCTTTCATTCTCTCGCAATGACAAACGTGTCCAAATATTCGAGATTGACATTCTCTTGCCACTTCGTCCATGGCCATGGCAAGTCTCCGACCGGCAATAAAAAAAAGCTTTAGATTGTCCTTTAGTCTACTCCCCTCTATTATAAATTAGTCTTTCATTTTAGATCTATAAGTGTATATGTTTGTATCTCTTTATGTATATATAAATATATATGCTCCCTCCATCCCACAAAAAGTGTCCCTTTTGGGAACTTAACTTTTTAATAGTGTAGTTTTTAATTTTTATTTATTTATTATTATAGTGGTAGGTAATGAATTTTCAAATATACCCTTCTACGGTAGGTCCACATAACTTTAATTGCCTTTATAAATTCTAAGGCAATGAGGGTAAATTAGGAATATTAAAAAATTGTACATTGGAGTTTGAATTGGGACAATTATTTTGGGACAATGAAAAATGGAAAGGTGTAGGATGGAGGGAATATACACACACACACACATATAATAGGGCGGCGGCGGGGAGGGGGGTTTGAGCCCTATTCCCAGTCAGGGACGGGATTGGAACTTCAAACCTATCCCTGGTTTGCAACGGGTATTGGTATTGTTTAATGGGACGGGTTAGGGCTTAGGGCATCCCATCCCTAACCTGCAATGTTGTCATCCCTACCTTTCTTTTTATCTTTTTTCCACTATTTGTTTTCTAACTTATTTCTTATACTAAGTGATGATTATTGAACTCTAAGGATAGCCTAATGACAAGACTCTCATCTCACATCTTGGAAGTTGGGCACTCAAATCCCCTTAGGCCACTCTCAAGGACATTTTTGATTGGTTTATGCTAGACAATGGGCCCCATGAATCCGGTGGTGGATTAGGACGTGCTTTAAGAGTCTGACACCACCATCATCATCATCAACAAAATAAATAAAGAATTATTCATCATTTATAAGCACATAAAAAAATATTCAATTTCTTTCCACTATGATCTTTTCTAAAGAAGACAAAGGAGCTACTGTTGTTATTGTCTCTCTTTTTCTACCATGGATATCAAAACAACAAGCTTGGTTTATGCTATCCTTTTCATGTTTTCACTCTCCTTTTGTTTTTTTCACGCTTATGCAAACATACTGTGAGGGTGGTTGATGTTAGAAAATACTACAAATTGATTAAAAAGTCCTGTGCTTGAATTTTGACACCTCATTCTCATAATTATAAATCATGATGCCCGTATTTAACACATTCACAAAGGAGTTTTTGGCAACATGTGAGGAATTGTACAAATTATATTATTAATTATTTGTTAATATTATCTGTCAATGCATGTTAGTAAACATATAAAAATGGGAATGATTAATTTAATTGAAAGCTCAAAAAAGTTTCTAAATATATATTTTTTTTCTCTTCTTTTCCATAGGTGAAAACATTTTAAGGCAAATGAATGATTAATTTAGTAAGTGAAATTATTGACCATAAGGGGATAACTTAACGACAAGCTCACATCTTGGAAGTTGAGAATTCAAATTCCCTTAGGCCACTCTCAAGGACATATTTGACAATTGCCTAATTTATGTTGGACAAGGGACCATGTACAGTGTCCGGTGGTTGCTCTAAGAATCTAACACCACCAAAATCGACAATATTAATAAAAATTGTTATTCCCCATTTATAAGCACAAAAGAAAATATTCAATTTCTTTCTACTATGATCTTTTCTAAAGAAGACAATGGAGCCACCATTGTTCTTTTCTCTCTTTTTCTACCCCGGATGGGGTATCGAAACGAAAGGCATGGTTAACACTATCCTTTGCGTGTTTTCATTATCATTTTGTTTCTTTCATGCTTATACAAACGCTCTATGAGAACGGGTTAATCTTAGAAAAGACTAAGAATTGAGTAAAAAGGTCTCATGCTAGAATTTTGGCACCTCATTCTTATAAATCATGCCCATGTTCAAGTATTCGCAAGGTGGTGGATTATAGGGTGCTCTAAGATTCTAGCACCACCATCACCGACAAAATAAATAAATTATTGTTATTTTCCAGTTATAAACACATAAGAAAATATTCAATTTCTTTCCACTATGATATTTTCTAAAGAAAACAAAGGAGCCACCATTTTTCTTCTCTCTTTTTCTACCCTTGATGTTGAAACAAAATGAGTGGTTAAACTTTACGTGTTTTCATTTTCCTTTTGTTCTTTCATGCTTATACAAACGCGTTGTGGGAGCAGTTGATCTTAGAAAAGACTAAGAACTGATTCAAGAGGTCCTCTGCTCAAATTTTGACACCTCATAGATTCAATCTGTTAATATATTATATGTTAATGCATTTTAGTAAACAAATAAAAATAGGAATGATTAATTTAACTGAAAGCAACCCCACGAGGATAACCTAGTGGTAAAGACTCTCACCTCACAACTTAGAGATCATGAATTTGAATCATTTTGGGCCACCTGGCCCAGGGAAATTTTCCGGTAATTACCCAGTGCATGTGGGACTGGTAGACTGCATTTATCCGGTGATGGATTATAGGGTGTTTTAAGAGGCCCGACACTAACATTGTAAAACAAAACCAAAAAAAAAAAACTGAGCCTATAAAAAAGTTCCTCTCTAATTTTCTACAGGTGCAAACATATAAAGGCACATGAATACATATAAGAGATCACTTGAAATTCCATATACTCAATGCATTCTACTCAGAGTGTTAACATATATAAACTAAAAATTGAAATCTAATCACCAAATTAAGGAAATTTATAATCAAGAAGGACCAAATGAGTCATTGATTGGCCAAAACAATTTGTGTGTGACAAATTCGAACAGAAACACCAGATTTGAAATAGCTAGTAGATCTTGAGTCAGTATCAATTTTACCTTATTCAATGGCCAGATAAAGATAGCCCCAGAACCAAATGACCCTTGTCTGTGAATCTGAGAAGCTACAAGGTACTGGTTTCTCAAGCAAGTGAGTGCATGAGGAGGTGAAGCACAGGTTGGTATGTGGTAGAGATCATCCCCTGTGTCCATGTCCCAGATGGTTATCCCTGTGCTCAGTTTCTTGTCACTGCATACCACCAATGCCTCCTTGCTGCCCATCTCTCTTTCTCTCTCTTTAGCTCTCTCTCTCTCTTTCTCTCCCTCTCTAGAAAATACAGTTTTAAGCAGCATGCAAATAAAGGTGAAGCCTGATTTTGTGGACACATGCACTGAAAGTAATGTGAAGAAGAAGAAGCTTACCAAATATTTTGTGGGTGTTTGGCGTGTCCTACATGCGCATTTTAGCAGGGGGCACTGGCAAGCTCTCTTACATTTGTTTCTCATGCAAGACTGGTTTGAGGGTGTAGCCAATGAGATCATGACACGTCTTAGTAAGTGATAATTATTGATTTTAGTGCTATTTTGGGAATTGGGAACTAAAAGGTTCCTTGCTTTGGATTTCTTTGACTTATTTAACCGATCACTCAATATTGAGTTAGGCATCAGGCATGTCATCTATTTTTCTTCAGTTGGGTAATGTCATTGTTCTTAAATTGGGTAAATACACTATAATTTTATACCCAAGGGTGGATGTCATTGTTCTTAAATTGGCTAAATACACTCTAATTTTATACCCAAGGGTGGACTTAACCTGAACAATCGTCGGACACCAGGTCAACACCAGGTCATGAGGTGTTTGAATCCAGAAGAGAGCAAAGTGATAGACATTTATGGTGACCACGTAACAGCAAAGGAGTGCTACGTAGTGACTCTCAAGGCCAGTGGAAAGGACAAGATGACCGTCCGCCCTGCGAGTACAAAATAGCAATTACAGGAGCCTCTACCCAAAAGAGCCGAGGTGGAGGCAGAGCCAAATAACGCGATTGTGAATTTGAACAGATTTTGTTAACCAGAGCAATCCAAAGAATTTGAAAAAAAAAAAAAAAAAATTAAAAAATTTATAAGCCTTGCTTGGTTTGTATCTATAAAAACAGAACTGAAAAAAAAAAAAAAAAAAAAATTGTGTTTAGTTCAATTTTCTGAGACTGTTCCAGAGTTCAAACCAAGCAAGCCCATAGTTTTTATAATTTTAAAACTACATTTTTTATATAAAATTAAATTAAATTTTTGTACGTACAACCCACCTTGTAGACCTAATAGTGGCATCTGTCACTCTGATCAAGTGGAGATTATGAACTTCTAGAGTCCTAAACAATATAATTTACAAGTTGATAAATTTTAATGGTTGATCTTTCAACTTTTGCATGCCGATTGCAACAAGACAACCTTAAGCGTATGAAATCCTTATTATGAATATATGTAGAAACACATCCAAAAAAACATTTTTGTGACTTTATTACATGAAACCACAAATCACAACCATCCACTATCAATTATTGTCTAATTTTAGGAACCACGGGAAAGAATTGACTAAACATTATGCACAGAATTTAGATTCCTTTCTGTCTTACAAGTAAATAACTTAAATATATATTGAGAAAAAAATTTATAACTTAAATAAGACAGTCCTCTTGCATGGAGATGGGGAAACAAAACAAAAGCGGCGCAGCCACGACATCAAAAGTTGGAAGGCTACACCACCTTTACACCAACCATCCCAAAACTAACTTAAGGATACAGAGTATAAATTCAAAAAACCTATACTTCATTTTACAAACAAGAAGGCTTCACAGCAGTCCGGAGAGCAGCAACTTCGTTAGGGTTTTGAGAGAAAGGTACAGAATACGCGAGGGTAAAGAACCTTTTTGTACAGATGAGAAGCCTTCACATGAAGTAGCTGAGAGCCTTCTTCCTCCTGGAACCTCCTTCACCATAGAGTTCATTCCACTGTTGAAGCTCAGTCATGTTTATGGACTCGGAAGAAACACTTGCACAGACCTATTATGTGATATGAGCAAAAGTAAATTTTAACGCAAAAACAAGATAAATATTTGCAAGGGGTATATAATTATAACAGTTTTCCCCTTTATTACCCGTTCATGAGCATTTTTGAAGTCATCCATGTTTAAAGGCCGTATATCACCACTTCCACTCAGTGCCGGAGGGGGTTTACCTTCTGCTAGTGCTGCAGCGCGCTCCTGTCATCAATTTAGTATATTAGATCACTGTAGAAGTGCTTCAAAATCTGCTATGAAGAAATTTGAAGGGATACTACACACAGAATGATCCATGCATAATCTGAACAATATCTAGGAAAGAATTCTATTTAGCAGGGCATATATCTACTTCACTGGATAATACATCCCCCTCTCCCACCAACAACCGTGGAAGGCAGAACATACATTTGGTAATGCACTTCTTCTTATACAGGAAAGAATTCCAAGATGTTTCTAGAGATCAACTTCCCAAGGAATTCTAATTGAGAGCATAGTAACACATTGCTCAAGGATAGCTTAACAAGGACAGCAATGGATCTGTACTAGGAGAGCTAGGCATTGAGATAACCTCAAGGATGCTTGAAGCTATTTATCAACCAAGAAATTAATTTGTTTGACTGGATACATCTTCCCAGAGAGACTGGCCTCTGGCATAACAAAATCCATGTTTGCAGCCAGAAACATGGACAACTCATGATAATATCACTATAATGCTATGTTATGCTGTTGCAGATAAAAAACTTTCTTAATCTCCAATAGAAACCACGTCATCATTTTCATTTCGAACTTAATTAGAAATAAGCTTGTTCACTGTTGAGCAAGAGAAACAAACCTTTTTTTCCTTTTCCAAGATCTCTCTGATGGGGCGATGTGCAGCAGTTACACAAAGGTTCTACAATGCAAAAAAGTTTAAAACTCAGAACATTGACAAAAATGGGAGAACACATTCTAACCCAGGAAAAGAGTAGAAAGACAACCTTAAGATCACTTCCTGAATATCCATCTGTCATACTAGCAATTGATTCCAACTCAATATCAGGAGACAAGTCCTCTTTTGCTAGTATCACTTTCAGAATCTTGGCTCTATTTGGAGGATCTGGCAAATTAACCATCAATCTGTGGAAGAACACACATCACAAAAACAGACATATGAAATACAAAAATCCCAAATGTCCACAAACCAAGATAATTGTTTAGGCAACTTCGACTGCTGTTTACCTACGCGGCAGCCTTCTAATAACGGCCTCATCAAGGTCAAACGGCCTATTTGTGGCTGCAAGTACCAGAACGCGTTCTGTGTCTTTTGTTCGCAAGCCATCCCAATTCACCATAAATTCATTTTTCATTTTACGCATGGCTTCGTGTTCTCCCGGGTTTTCCCTCCGTCCCAACATGCTATCAACCTTCAAAAAACAATCAATAAAAAAAGAATAAGAAACTGTATCTGTATGCAAATAAAATTTGAAATATTATAGAAAAATAGGGAGAAGCATACTTCATCCACAAATACAACACTAGGGGCAATTTTACTAGCAAGCGAGAAGACAGCCTTCACGTATTTTTCACCCTCTCCAAACCACTGCAGTTAGAAAGATGGGAAGAATGAGTTGAAATCCAAAATTAAATCACTTTATAGGATCTAATTGAAGTCACAGAAGATCCTCAACAATGCTAACCTTCGATGTGATGCTTGACATGGAAATGTTGATGAAGTTTGCACCAGCTTCCGTAGCAACAGCCTTTGCAAGCATTGTCTTTCCAGTTCCAGGGGGGCCAAATAAAAGTATACCCTTGCAAGGCTAAAAATGAAAGAATGAAAGAATTACAGTGAGATTGTTCTTGTCGGGACTCTTAATTACATACATATGATCTCAAGAATATTCAAGAGCTACGCTGGAATAGAACAGGCAGGAAGGGTGAGCCTTTGAAAAGGAAAATAATATTGAAAAAAAAAAATTGAGGATCAATATATTAGGATCCAAAAACACATATCAATAGTTGCATGTCAAAAGAGCTGTGGAGCAGGAAAAAACCATACACACAAGGATCACAAACAGATTGTTATATAAACTTGATAAACAGTTGCACATAAAAGAGCTGTGGATTTTTTTTTTGAAACAAACAGATAACCTAACAGCCTTCGTCAACCAATTGACTGAATACCAAAGTGGGGATTTTGTCAAACGCCCTAAGTAATACAGTCCAGAAAAGGGTCTGAAAATTGAGATTCTTGAAAGGAAATGTATCAAGTAAACATAAGCCAAATGGAACAATGAAAATGTCAGTCAAAAGTAAATGAAAGCAAATAAGATCTAAATTAAGGCAGAAAAGAGGAGACGTGTGAAAACCTTAGTCAGTTGACCCTTGCAGAAAAGCTCAGGTCTCTGTAAAGGAAGCATCACCAACTCCTTCAATGTATCCTTAACATTTTCAAGGGCTCCAATATCGTCAAATGTGACTCCAATATCAGTGGGTGGAATAACATCAGCTAGAAGCCTTTTTTCAAATTCGTTCTCTGTCACAACATCCTGAAGTTCACCATAAAAATTAATACATCTATACCACAGAGAACATTGCACAAGTTTATTTATATTATTCACAAACATAAGGAACAATTTCTTCGAAGATATTTGCTGGCATTAATAAGCAAAGTGATTACCTTGAGTGACTTCTTCAAGCTCTTGGATTCATTCTGGATAGCATGAAGAATTCCGATCCCATATTGAATGCTGCAAGAATTGCAACATTGAATAAAAACTGTATAGCGTATCCAATAACTAACTACTAATTCAGCCGACAGTAAATCCAAAAAAAAGGTGTGCTGCGAAGTTTCCATTACCTCTCACTTGACAAAACAAGCCCTGTGTCAGCATTAGCCTGGGGGTTCTGCATTAAATGATGGCTTAAAGCCCATCCAACTACCTTCTCCGCACCTTCAATTCATGCCAAAACATAATTCCAGAGTTCTTATTTATTTTGGAACAATTCATTATAAACAAAATAGAATAATAATTGAAGTTAAAAAAAATAGAACAATACTTCAAGTTGTTATGTAATGAAGATAAACATACTTTCATTTGTAAGAGTTTGGTCCCTGATGCATAATGTTTCAAGTCCATCACATTCCAACCCACTCCGACTCAAGACCTACATATGACCAAAACAATTAACTATTACTATGACAATCATTTCCAAATATCACATCTTTAAGCATTAACCTTGCAGAAGGTTTACTATAGTCTATCATGAAGCATTTAGAAGCTTGCGACCGTTGAAAGGAAAATTAACCTAATTTCTAGTTGCGAAGAGAAGAAGCTAATTTTTCTTCAAATAAATTGAACATCTTCAATATAGAAAGACAGGAAACCGAATTTTGTTCAATAAAACTAGTATGGCAATGGTGTGAAAACAACATGCGGGATTTGACAAAAAAATTTGAGACCAAAAAAATATATATATCATTCTCAAGATGTTGATAATTTTTACAGATATATCAACACTTGAAAATTATGATAAATAGTATGATAATAAATTGTTTAATCTTCCTTCAGATTGTTAGGTTGAATACATTACTAAAAAAACAAAAATAGATGATAGAAGTTAGCATCTGATAGATAATGTACCCAAAAAGTTGAGTATTGATTTTCAAACAGATAACACAAAAAACAAAACAAAAAAATGTTGGACTATTTAACTGATGAAAAAATTAATTACCTAATAAAACAAAAGAACAAGAAATTTATTACTACCACTAAATAATATTCAATAGATGAGACAACAGATAAGAAAAGATTGTAAACACTCTTAAATAACACCCGTTCAGGTCAAGTTTTGGAAGATAGTCAATGTAAAATTAGCCAAGTAGCCAAACTAAACATTACCCTTAGTTTAGGGAATATATATGTTTTACCAATACTTTACCACGGCAATACCAGAAATAGTTAAGGTATTAGGCTGAAATTCTATTAAACTTTGCATTGGCAGAGTTATTGCATAGAGTAAATTTATATCTGCACTATTATATTTATAACAAACCCTTCTGGTTCCAATTTACAAATGGGATTCCCAACACTAGAATAAAGTTGTAATAAGAAGACCGACCAAGGAGGACTTAAAGTTGTATTAAAATTATAAAAGTTAACTGTTCAAATAATTCAACTGGTTGTAAAAAGACAGATGTAAAAGTTCTGAGAAATTAGAAATAATTGTTTTTCTGGGTGTTGTTGTCGTAATATGGAGGTATTATAAAAATCTAAAGAAAGTATAAAAAGGCAGTAAATAAAAAAATTAAGAGAGAGGCGGGAGAGACTTGTCCACACACTAATTTACGAAAAATTCTTAACATTATTAAGTAACATGAAATCAATATATTATCACAACTTGCTTGTATTGCTTCAGAAAATAAATAAATAAATAATATTGCCTTCTATTAACCAAGAATATGAAATTTCTCAAGATTAAAGTGTTTTCATTATACTTAAAAATAACAATCTATAGATGTACAAACAGGTGAAAAATATTGAGTTGACTGGTCCACCAATTGGATCAACATACAAGTAAATCATAAGAATATGTCAAACACAAAACTCATTTCAGAGTCGAAGTAAATGAGAGATTTTAACCCAATTCAGAATTAACAAGTAGAGATCCGAAAAATTGACAATTCGAATTCATATTGGTAATCTTGACAACTATCAAACTCTTATTCCTAATTGTGACAAAATTAAATGCAAATAACTTAAAAGTGTCTACTTGTGCAATAAAACTGCAATTATACGTGTCAATGTGGCAAACCACAAACTGCCATTTCCAAATAAATTATCAGTTTAAAGGTGCATAAAATCTGTTAACTATGTCATTTTTGTTCCAAAATCAACAGCAGCAGCAATTAGCTGCAACCCTGATTCAATGTGCACAAAATAAACAGCATAGATACGCTTTTGGAGATGTACTTGGTGAGCGCAACCTGAAGAGAAGAAAAGAAGGTGGGTTGAGGTTCCGGCTTTGGGGCAGGAGGGTATCAAGTATTTGCAACAATTTACAAAAATGGGATCACAAAATAGACACTGTTTCTGTTGCATTAGAAAGGAAAAATAGAACTAGGATTTTGTACCAGGGATTATAACTATAATTTAGCTCAGAAAAATTAAAAGTCGAGAAAATCTTGAAAGTTAATCCATGAAGAAGAAATATCAACAGATTTGAAATTATAAACAGGAATGATATTGTCATAGTTTTCAGATATAGCAAAATTTGCTCACTGTGCGCAGGTGGGTTAGATTCCCCTTCATTTTGAGGGTTTCAGAGTCTCGATCCAATTGATGCTTCCAACTAACAAGAAGCGCCTCATCCTGCAATAATTTAGAAACTAGCATTGGATATATTTTTAATTTTTTTATAAGTAACTAACATTGGATATTGTTGAAAACAAAAAGCAAGTGATTCATTTGAACTCTGAGTAGTGAGTACGCACCTGAGGCATGTGAATGGTTACTTTATTAGGGAAAAGTTTTGTCAGGAGTTTTGTTGCCTTGGGAACCTCCTTCCCCCTGTCATGTAGTCTCCCAAAACTATCCTGAGAAAATCAAAAGGCAATGACATCAGGTTTCTACAAATCTAATATATACTAGGTTACATTTCAGTTTCCAACCTATTATATAAAATATTATAAAAGCAAAAAGATATACAGAGAGAAGGGATATGGAATCTAAAACTAGCAAGAGCAGCTAAAAAAAATTAAGAATTGGATGTCAATAACCAGTCACATAAAATGACAGTTTGACAAAATTGCCTCATACACTGAGATTCAGTTATGGAAGACATTTCACAGCATGACCAGAAACAGTTAGGAATGGAAAGATACAAAAATATTTGATTCAAAGGAGAACAGATTTTCATTTCAGAATGAACTTAATTTAAAAATCATTGAAAAAGGATTGTAAGTGGAACTGCAAAAATGAATGAAAAACAACAACAACAACAAACAAAAGCATATGCATTAAGAATCTGTACTACGTCCTCTCCCTTCGTTTTATGCCTACTTACTCTCTTAACAATGTTTAACAAAATCGGAAGCTGAAGTGGAAAGCTGAAAGGGGAAAAGTAGTTCAAGAAACTACCATAAAATCGTGAAGGAATGATTTGGAATCATAATAGAAATCTGTATGAAAAAATTGGTGAGATACAAAACCACTAGAAAATGTGCTATGTGCTGAAGCAAAAACTTGGGACTACATAAGAGAGCACTGCAAGAAGTGAAAACTTATAAAATACTATTGGTCATAGTTGACAAAGGTGGGCCTAGACTCCAAAAAAGCCCCAGGCCAGTCAAGGCTCAGCTAGAGCGCCTCAACCTACGACAGGCCAGGCCAGGCCCCTTCAATCATGAACACATAAAGCCCTCAGGATCTCACACCTTGTACTTTGTAATCATTTAATGATCACTAAATTAAAAGGTTTATATATCATATATCGTATCGTTTAATCTTGTGAAATATTTGACAAAATTCATAAATTTATGATTCACTACTTACATTAAGTGCAGTTAGTGCTTGATTCTGAATATATATATATATATATGTTTAAATATGCATTACTATTACACACGCGAGTTACTTCAATCAGGCTCGAGCTTTGTATTGCGCCTTGCGCTTAGGCTCCAAAAGGCCTTTGGTGCCTTGAGCCTTTAACAACTATGCTATTGATAAAAGGGAAAAAGGCTTCTAAAGCATTTCAAGAACAAGAGAAATTCTGAGAAGTGTGTTTCTCATAGACTTCAATGCCTTCCCAGGCCCACTTTTAAAAAGTTCCCTACAAGTTTCCCATAACATTTCAAAAGACCCCCTAAAAGTTCTTGAAAGTTTCTTCCCAACTTCCAAATCAAGTTCATAGACAAGTGTTCCCACCAATATGCAAGGTTTTTGGTACTATGTACATCACTAACCTGGCCTATCACGAGGCTCCTCTTCCCCTTGCTATATTTCCAGTTTTAAATTATTTTGCAGTGAGCCATTAATATTTCCAACTATAGTGGCCACTAGCTTTTGACTTCAAAAATATTTAACACATTTAACAAACTACAATATGAGCATCCAATGAGCCATGGACATGAAACAGCAAATACAAAGTTGACATTTTCATTCATGGTTCATATTGAGAGGATGTATAAGGAAGCAAAACCAAAAATCATCATTAACTGTTTATTGAGCCCTATCATGCAAATCCATTATGATGGAAATCCATTATGATGGTTCTTACAAGAAAATCAATGACAAGATCTGATACAAAGGAAGTATGCACATACTATTTATTCTCCACACACACATAACTTGTTATCCATAATGTATCTCCTTTCATATTAAGTAATGCATACCTACAGGAAGTATGAAGTGAAATTTTCCGAATTCACAAGAGCCATGGGTAATCAGGGCTTTGGTTTTCCAGAATGATTTTTTGTGATTAGAAATTGTTATAAAATGATTATAATAGATTTAACCAAGGCCAATTCAAATGGTTTCAGGTGTTTCTTGGTTCTAGAAGTACTGCATTAAATCACAGAAATTATATTATGAAGAAGAGGAGAAGATAATGTGGAGAAGAAAACACCAAAAGTTTCTTCAACACTCACAACCCGGGGGGGGGGGGGGAGGGGGGGGAGGATGATCATGCCATCCAAAACATGATTCAAGCTGCAAACTTTATATAGGATATTCATTACCTTCAACAAAACTATTGTAGTTATTCCTATACACACCCACGGCCTAATAAAAATTAGTAAGAACCCCTGAACTAAACATATAATGAAGATGAAACACAAAACAAACAAACTAATGACCAAGACCAGGAACTTTTGACACATTCATGTGCCTAAAATCAATGGGGGAGAGAGTTGATTTTTTGGGCATGTTAAGAGTTCGGGTACCTATTTGACCCTTGTGTAGCTTTTGTAGGATGCTTTCCCCGTTTGAACGCTTTCTAATCTAATCTTACTTATCAAAAAATAAATTTGAAGACAACCAAAACATCTTGTCTATGACAACAAAAGTTTGGCTTATAGTCAAGGCATTTCCTTGTATATTGAAAACCAGTCCAGCCACTCAAGACGAATCTGAAAATTAAGAAGTGAACTAAATTCTTTTTCTTTTTTTTGATAAATAAAATGTATTAGAAAGTGTTCAAAAGAGGAACGCTTTCTAATACATTCTAAGAATCACCACGTATGAGATATTTTATGTAAATATCATTTCCTCATGACGCTTCTTTCATCAAAACATTGTGCAGGTTTTGCATATTCTGATTGTTACAAATTGACACCACAACTTTAAATTTTTCTATTTTGGGAGGTGAAGCAGATATTTCATCAGGAGTAAACTTAGCATGCAAAGTTAACCCCAAAGGAATGGAATCATTGGTCAGGGACCAAGCCTGAGCATGCAAACATTCAGGTTTTGATTCTTCCCAACTGAGGCCTCACAAGGTTCTTCCTGGATTAAAATTGGTTTGTCTGGAGGGACTAGTTCCACTTTAGGTGGTGACACCCCTCCAAACAACCAAAAAAAAGGTACAACAGGCAAAGTTTGATTATCATTGCGACTCCAAGCAAAACTACAAAAAACAAATGTTCTGATATCCCAATCTCTATGCATTTCCCACATTATTAAGAGGAGGAGGGGGGAAGAAAAGAGAGAAAGAAACTCCAAGTTTTTATGTCTATAACAAGTTATGAATAGTACAAGTCTGCTAGTTATTTTCTTGTGTGGAACACCTGGAACATCCTTTTGCACTTTTACCCCCAAACGGAGTAAAAATGATAAAAGAAAAGAACTAGTACAACAAATGCCCGCTAGAGGCTATTATTATACATAAAATTAGGATGAAGAATATCTTGAGACTTATATAAACTTCACGAGTTTCTTCTGGATCATGCCCATAAATGAAGAAGCTAGTCCAAACTAATGGAAAATTATGTAACAGTAGAAAGACAGAAAGAAAGGATGATACTTCAATGGATTAAGAGAACAATATTATGAAGTTCATTAACTTTGAAGCCACCAAAAATACTCTGTAAATCGATAAGAGCCACAAATACCCAAAATATAACTATTTTGAATTCTAATCAAGGCTTTAAAAGGGAAACGAAATGAATTGCTTGAAAGCATTCAAATGCAACCAAAATGGCTGTTGTACCTTCTTGAAATAGAAAAAGAAAGAAAACAAGAACCAGTAAAAAAAAATTGTGCCCAAAACCTAACATGAAATGCAAAATTTCAAATAAGCATATGCAACAGCGCATTCAAGATTTCAATAAAATAATTGTTACCGGGAGAGCCAAGTCAAGAAGAGCAGTCTGGTTGCTGCCAAATTTTGTGAAAAGCAAACCACCAGGATGTGACTGCAAGAGAAGCAAAGGGAATTTAATTTATAAATATGCGATCAAGTGAGCTCATAAATGGTTTTTTAATGCATGAGACTTATGCCATCACTCCCACAGGCAAACCTAAAAAACAGCTTTGGATTCAACCATGGACGCTAAAATTTTCCACAGCTTCTCTTGATCCCAAAACAGACACCACCTATTAGACTGAAAATAAGTTTGCAATAAAGCGATAATTCGTGAAAAAATCTCTTCTTGTGATACAGCTTAGAAGTTCACTAAAAAAACTGAACAGAAGACCCCTTATACATTCACATAAGTCAACCCAACAGAAGAGCCAGAGATCATCACAATTCACAAAAAGTTTTTCACAGCTTTTAAATTCATCTGAACTATAAACTTCCCAATACTGGGGTCATGGGTAATATACAACATTTTTCAAACAAAAAAGATGCTCTAGTTCAATTTATACAGATAAAGATGGAAGAAGTGTGCATGTGAGTGTGTGCACATGCGAGAGAAGGAAAGAAAAAAAAGAAAACTACAACAAAGGTAAGGTCCGATCTTCTCTTTTCGGAAAAGACCACATCTGATTTTCTTTTCCACTATGGGTAAGGATACACATCTGTTGATGTTGAAAGAATCAGTAAGACTTTCAGGCTTAACATCATTTAATTTTACATATGTCAATACTAAAAAGCATTTTCTTGACTCGAGTTTTGTTCTACATGATGATTTTAACTCTCATACTCATGAGGGCTATAACACCTTTGCACTTAAACCAAAGGGTAACAGATATATCAGCCAATAGAATTAAAGAACAAACTGATATCCCCATGGAAACTAATTCCTCCAAATCAGGCAATCATTACCTTTTCTTTACGGTTGTCAGTGTGAGTGTGCGAACCAATTATGACAACATTGTCAGGGAGCTTTTCAAGCCTGCTTTTATATGTTGAATACGATTCTGAATTTCCAACAATGGACTTCTCAGGATCTTTCATAAACAAAATGAAGGGAGAATTTCGGCTTTCACTTAACACAGCCTGATAAAAAGAAAAAAATAATAATAATAATGGAATTTCAGAAGTATTTATGAAATGACAATAAAGCACAAAACTTGGACAAAAGAACCATAATTACTTGAACAAAATATAAGGCCTACCTCAAATAAAGTGCTAATGAGTAACTTGTCCAGATCTTCCACACCAGTGCTTTCCAAACGAAGATCATTAACTAGAGAGAGTAAGAAAGAAAAGGTAAAAGGGACTTAACAATATTGAAAAAATAACAAAATTTACTAAGTCGTGAGCATGTGGAAATAATAAAAAATTAGGACCTTACCATTACAGAAGAATCCATGACCCGGCTCACAGACACCCCCTAGGTCAATTCCGTCAGGTATGGGCTTATCAAATCTAACACCAATTTTTGATAAAGGATTTTCTTCAAAAGGTAATACAACCTTCCCTCGACTCCCAAAAGTTGGGCCCCTAAAATTTTGATAGATAAAAACTAAGACATTTACCAAGGTAAAAATTCAGATGCCCACAAATGAGAGAAAGAGAGGATACAAATAAACATTCCACTAGTAATGCTCTACATATAGATAAATAAAAAATAAAAATAAAAAATAAATGGTCAATCTTTATGAAAATGCCAATAGACATGTCGTAGAGGCCACAAGCTCAGGCTCATGCCAAGGTAACATTACCTATAACAGCAGATTATTCTATATAGATTACATCACTTGAATGAAGTTATATTGACATAGATGCCTATAAGATCCAAAAAATTGAACCTTTTTAATTTAGAAGTGTTAACCTTAGTGACTGACCACTGAACAAATAGAGATCAGTACATGAATCTATGGATTAAATTAGAAAGCTTCAAGAGCCAAGCGACAGAAATTTCCGAAGGTAATACAAACCAAGTGATTTAACTTAGTAGATGAATAACAAAGGAAGAAACTATAAGCTAAGCATAATTTTAAAAAAAAAAAGGTCCAGGAGGCAAAATATATTGAATTAGAATGGTAATTTATCATGTTTCAACTTTCAATTAGAATATATAGATGAATTGTAGCACACTACCAAAAAATAAATAAACCAGAATCTAGAGATGAAAGTGCTGAGAGATTAAACTACAACTCAGCCCCAAAAAAGAAGAAATGAGAACATAAAAAGCAGTCCAGGTAGCACCGTACAATTATAAATTATACCTTGAAGGAGATGACGTTGAATATAAGCTGCCAGAAGGAGACCCGGTGAATCTCACTTTGTCACCTACAAGTTCCACAGTGCATTTAGAAAAGGGGAACAAATGTTGAGCTCATATAAAAGAAAATGTAACAGTTTAATGTTGAAGGGCACTAGAAAGCGAACCATGAAAACACCGCTGACAAGTAACCAGAAGGGGCATACCTGTTTTAAAGGGACTCTTCGACGTCCCCAAAGAAGACGGTACAGTGTCAGACTCCAACTTTGGTTGGGACTCCAAGCCAACAGAAGAAGGAACATTTGAAGAGCTAGGAGTATCTGCTTCAGCAACTGCAGGAGAAGTGCTTTTAGCTAAGTCGGTGGCTCCAGAACCTTGCTTTGTAGTATTGCAAGATTTTTCTGTGTTATATCCCGCTTTCAGTAGCTCTGCTTCCTTTGAAGATAAACCCTACAACACATTGATAAATGATGATTTACTCACTGATTCTTTATGGTTGGTAAATAAAATTGTAATGAGAACTTGATAAAACAATATCAAACAAGTCAATCATACCTACAACCTGAAGTGATCATAACAAGAAAATAATTATTCATATGCTGTTGATGCAAAATGGTATTAAAAACAAATTATTCCTTTATCAAAGTCAATCTAGTTTATTTTTATCTTACACCCAAAAATGAATGGCTATCAAATATAAGCAATTTAGCCCCAAAGTACTTGGCAAGTGCCTTCGCCAACATCTCCTGATATATTTCAGACCCTGTAAAAATTTCAGAAAATAAAATTAGACTCTGCAGTTAGGCATTTCCTCAAGTGAAAAAAATACAATCTCCAAAATAAATACTACTCGTAAAGAAATCCATCCAAACCTGCAGGACCAGAAAGCAAAATTCGCGGGTTCACGGTAGGAAGTTCAGACGTATATTTAACTTGTTCTTTGTGCTTCAAGTGTATATAAGAAGCCGAAATCAGCACATTTTTTGTATTTTCACTGCAAGAGGGGAAACCATAAGAAAGTTCAGTAATTACTGATGTGGTGGCATTTGAAATAAAAAAGCATCTAGTGTATCATTCAGCAGTAAGAATGGCATGATCAACAGCTGAGGGTGTTCCTCATTAGAAAACCACCATATACACAAGTAACACGATCACTTTAAGTTACTTAATATCTTGACATGGTAATGGTAAAACAAACCTATAATAAATGAATGAAAGCTAAATGCTAATTACAGTGACATCATCACACAAATAGGATATCCAAAATCCATTCCAGAAAGATATGATTTACATCTTTGCTACGTGACAGAATATATGTCAACATAATTAAATGATCAAAACCTTGTTACTTGAGCACATTTAAATATAAAAATAAAAGCTTTCTTTTACACATGTAGCTTAGTGGTATGAGCAGTCATCCCGCATAAGGCAATGTCCAAAATCAGGTTTAGGTATATGATATACCGCCAGAGTTACTCGCCCCGGGGGGGGGGGCGCCACCCGATACCATGACCTAAACTTATCTACATATTTCCCCCCATCTACATATTTTGGGGGAAATGTCTAACAGAATATAAAAGGTAAGCTTATGTTCAAGACAAGCTACACCATTTCAAGCCCCTCAGTACGTTTCCGAGATCTGATACGCGAATATTTGAGTGCATGTCCCAAGGATGAGCAACAATTCCTTTCAATAGCTTGGAAATTGGAATGTTTCACCCTCAACTCTTTCTTCATTTAGCATTTGAACCTCGATATAACAATATTTTTAAGACCCAAATCTTCTTAATCCAGGGCATTTTCTCACCTGCATACATAGACTGCAGATATAAGTGTTCTTAACTAGATAGAGGACTTCTTTTTTCTTTTTCTGCACATATTAGAACCTCAGTTTCCTTATACAGATTTTTCCTCCATTTACGCATTCTTATCTACATTTTCACATTTAATAAAACCTTCACCACATATAAATCATTCTCCAAGAAAAAATAAAAATAAAAAACTGCAAAATTTTAACCCATTTTCTTCTATATTCAAACCATTAGGACTATAACCAGAATGAATTTTAAAAAGAAAAGGAGAGAAAAATGTGAGGATGATAAAAAAGATGCAAAAGAGGTAGACAAAAATTGGAGCTGTCACTACCAAGTACCAATCAACACCAAAACCAGTCTTCAATTTCTATCACCGTGCGAGCTGGCTGTGACCAGCAACAGTAATCTCTCTCTCTCTCTCTCTCTCATCAATGTAATAATTGAAAAAAATAGCAAGGCATCCCAAAGAACTTCTAATCTCTCTATTATCAATATATTAAAGGGAAATGTCACCTCAAAGAAATTCTACTCATATTAATTATTTTTTACAATAGAATTTAATTAGTATTATTCAATTCCCTTTTCTAGTAATATTTATAATTTCTTCTTTAGAATTCTTATGAACTTGTCATCCCTGCCTTTTTATGTCCAACTTTCCAATTTATAAAATTAATATTTAGGGCCCATTTACTAAATATAAAGTGATTCTTGCTTCTGCTTTTACCCGAAAGCAAAATCAAGCAAAATAACATAATTCAAGTTCAATAATTTTATATATATATATATATATATATTTTGTTTTCTGACTTGGTAGACTTGAAATTTATTTCCAATAATAGCCAACGTTTAATCGATATTTCTAATCACAATCTTTTCTGTCCTAGTTGATACTCAACACCCCCGTCCTCCTCTCAAGGAATTGGTTGCAACTTTTTTGTTTCTTCACATCTAAAATACCTGCAAATTTTTCACTTGTATATGCTAAAACCCAATTAATGATAGATTAGTAATATATATACAAAAATAACAACCTATATAAATATTGAATATGGTTTCAAAATTACTCTGATAGTTAGTACCACCACTAAATTTAAAAAAAAAAAAAGATTCTAAACTGAAAGGAATTATCATTTAGCCAAAAAATACAGACCATATAAAGTCTTCTCTATTGTTGAAAATAAAATCCCATTCATATACTAAAGCTCAAGTCTCACACACAACCAACAGTTACACTTAAAAACAAAAATGCAAGAAAAATTAACTTTTAAGGATCGTTTCAAATCTAAAAGTCAAAATCCAAATTAAAGAACTTCATAATTGCATGAGAAGAACCTAATTTGAGCTGAATACTCCCTCTACTAGAGCCATCACTCAGATCTAAAACTACAATTAATGTAGAGAAACAGAAGATGTTCCCAATAAACAATTATTAAACTTCAGATCAAAATTAATCAGTTCCTGCAAATTCTTGATACCAGGTATGGAGTCGTCGATCAAAGAGTCTAAGAAAAACGGTGGTGTCATCGATTGTCGGTGGTTGAGAAAAACTATGAGAGCGAGTACAGGATAGAAAGAAGAAACCGAGATGCTGAGAGAGAGAGAGAGAGAGAGTGAGTGATATCAGCCGATCGAACCGTCTCCAGTGGTGTCGTCGATCGCCGGGCACTCGCTGTTGGGTTAGGAGATGATACTGGTACTATGGTTCACACTACAGAAAGCAAAGGTCCTAAAGAAGAAAAGGCCCTAATTTTAGGAAGCTGCAGTAACTTTTATGTGCCCCTACAGTAGAAGTAATTCTCATCTACAGTAAGAAAACACAGAAATCAACATTTTCTTGCTTTCCCTTTTCTTCTTTAAAATTGGAATCACTTTCTGAAAACTAAAAAGCTAATACAACCACTTGCCAACTAGCAAAAATCTCCACTACTGACATAGGCATCACCGAGAAAAATCCTAAAAAGACAAACTAAAGACAAGCCTCCTAGGCAACACTTTAAAATGAAGGAAATTTGTCTACAATAAACCCGCACCTTTGCACATATAACACCAGTTTAGAAGTACTTTCTCTAAAGTAAGTCATCACTCACCAAGGAGAATTTGTCTACAATAGCACCACACCTTTGCACATATATCACCAGTTTAGAAGTACTTTCTCTAAAGTGAGTCATCGCTCACCAAGTTCTCCCCAAGAATCCAAGCAAAGAACGAAACCTTGGTGGGGACTACAGCTGTCCAAATTCCCCACTACTGGAGGGTGCAAGCAATGTCTCCAATTAACACCTTGTAATACATATCCATATCAACCCTCCCTCGCCCTGAAGCCCAGAACAGCAATTTATAATCCTCAGACTTGTTGATATCATTAAACCGAAAACGAAAAAAAAATGCATTCACTGACTCAAATCACTAAATGAGACAACCATCAAAAAGAAGATCCATAGTTCTGTACCATGCCAGTCTCTGAAAACCTCAAGTGGACCACTAAAGTGGCTTCCTTATCCACAGCAATCCCAAAAGCTCTGGAGTTACTCCTTCTCAAGTTAAACAAATATCAAGCCAAAAATAAAGTCCAGCTAATTACATTTCTCCTTGTATAAAAATAATGCAGCAATTTTCCCCTTTGTTTGGCATTTTATTAGAGTATATGATCTAAGTAAATAATATAAATAACCAGTATACACCATCATCTAACATCTTCAAGCCTTAACAAGTACACCATCAAGTCCAAATCCTTTCACATTTGCAGAGAAAATAACTTGGAAAAAAAATCCATAGAGCTTTGCAATAAACTTCATGAGCTTATTTCCCAGTTTATTAGTTTTTCCTAAACTAAAGTTCCTTTCTGTTTCTTCTCATAAATAATTTCCAGCAGGAATTCTTCTAAAAACTCACACAACAATCCAAAAATCCAAAGCTTAAAAAATAAAAAGAATTGTAATATAATACATTACAGGACAATCCAGAAAGTAACCAAAGTGGGATAATCATAGAGAGCATGCCAATAAACATAACAGGTTTCTGAATACCATACCTCAAATAATATGGGAAATCGTCAAATGAAACTTCTATGTCTCTGCCATCAAGAATCCCTGCATGAATGTCTTCTTTAAAGACTGCACATCTTAGAGACATACCCGATGTTGATGCTGGCAGTGAATCCCTGGTCCACTCATTTCGTTCTTCAAATACCTGTTTACAGATACTTTTGCTCAATTTCAGGTTACAACTAGTCGACGGAGCTAACATCTGCAATAAAGGCCTTAGCAAATCATTCAGCCCAGAAAGTTTTACATTGCCTGCCTCTATGCCAGAGTCCGGGTTGCCACCGAGCGGCATGATCTTGCTAGTTTCTCCGACGTCTGCAGCTTTATCACTCCCAACATTTGTTGATGAATTGACTTCTAAACCATCGAGCTCAATCTCCATACTGTCATGAACAACAGGAAGTGGGGGCAGCTCACTCCCTTGGTGTGTTTTACCACTTGTTTGAGCAGTAGGCTTCAACCGTGACAAGTCTTGCCGCAGGCTCGAGAGAGATGCCAAAATAGAAGCCCCAGCCACAGCTGAAGGATCCCCTGCCCTCCTTTCAATCTGCAGCAATTTTCCTACACTACTCTGAGCCTCTGCTCCACCAACTGATGGAGGAGTCTTGAGAACAGAATCAGTTGATAGTCGCTGGAAAATCTGTACAGAAGATACATTAAGGAAAATTCCCTCATTTACATATGCATGCAATCTTACACAACAATGCAAGAGTAAAACGGGTAAAAATGTGAGCTTTATCATTCCAACAATCCATAAAATAAATTAAATGAAGAGCACTCTTAAAACAAAAAGGAAAGGATACATAAGCGTGGTTCCCCAGCAAGCCAAACACCACCTCATCCCCAGAACTGAGGACACAGCTCGTATTCTTCTTAATAGATTTTCCATTTACTTGCACAGATCCTTTGCTCCCCCTGCTTTCGAGCACCGCAACAGAAGTGCCTTCGCGCTGATTATGTTCATAAATAATGAGTACTCATACTGCATATACAAACTATGTAGTTTATACCCCAAAAAAAAAAAAAAAAAAAAAAAAAAAAAAAAGAAAAGAAAAAAGAAACATGCAACAATACCCAAGTAGAATATCTATCTAGAAGATACTCCTGATCATATTTATGTAAAATCTACTCCTGCGTGTTTGCACACTTAAGCAGGTAACATGAGCTTTATATAAAAGCAATACCTGTGTGTGCCTGATTACACATAGATTTGCACTAACAGTTTGATCCTTTAATACAAGACTGCTCTGTCTGCTCGCACCAATGGTGAAATTTAATGTATAAATAGAAACACTCTGATTCTGCAGCACAAAACAACCTCATTCATGCATGTAAAAGAAACCAATAATCAAACTCACACTGATGCTGACAAATACACCTTCTTCACTAAAGAAAACCAACTCAAAAACACAAAACACAATGTAAAAAAAAAAAAAAGTGATGGATAAATTACTTGTGGATACTGTGACAGAAGTCTACACCAGGGACTTTCAAAATTGGTGTTCCTCCACGAAGAGAATGAATTTCTGGGTTTATCAACCACAACGGGCGAAGACCCTTCAACACAAGGAAACACAAAACTCTCAATCTGAAGTCAATCTATCGTGAATGACAGTTCAATTCAAGAATTAATCAGTAAGAATCAACTCACCCTCAGCGATCGGTGCTGTGACACCAACCGTCTGAGCCGCCTCTCCTCCTTTTCCGACACTCGAAGCCTCGTTGCCGCCACCGGTAGGAGGGTCAACCGACCCAGATGGATCCACCGCTTGAGGTGAACCCAATTCTTTCGAATTCTCAGCCAACGTCGATTTCTCTACAACCCCATTGTCGTCCTGAAAATTGGCACAAACCCATCGTCACAAAATCAAAAAATTTATGTTTTAGAAAAAGCAAATCAAAAAAACCAAGACCAAAAAGTGATTCAAAAATCAAAAAGGCCCTGAATCGATTTTCGCAATAGAACCTTCTGACGCTTCGGCGACGGAGGTTTCTCCTCGGACGACGAAGATCTCTTGCTATTGTTACCGGGTAGAGATCCACTTCGTCTCGTCGAAACCATGTCTGGTTCGTCCTCTCCCGAACTAGAGAGAGAAAGACAAACTTTGGAGAAAGATAGAAAGAAAGAGAGAAAAAAAAAATACAGAGAATATAACAAAAATATATAAATAAATAAATATGTTATTACCAAAACTTTTTTTTATTTTTCTTGGAAAATTGTTTTGTGGTTTGGTTGGTGGTACCGTATTATATATATATATATACACGGAGTAATATAATAATACCCTGTTACGGGTTTATTCATTAGCCGTGCACTGCCCTTTTTCTTCTTTTTCCCTTTATTTTGTTTTTTTTTTAATTTATATATTTATCATGAAAATAAATAAATAAATAAATTGCACGTTAATTTTATTCGAATCAATTAAAATCGTATTTTTTTATCGATTCACTTTTTAGAGGTTAAAAATACCGAAACTAAATATCTTTGTTTGTATACATATTTATTTTCATCTGATTTGATTGATTAGTAGTAATGTTTTACTAGGTTGGGCTTGCATTATTAATATTAGATCGATGTGATATATATTAATCTTTTTTACCTTATATGCTAATGAAATAATATTTCTTGTTTGGGTGCATATTAATTAGTTATTGTGTTACTAGAAGATTTTAATTGAAAAGGGAGATGAAGTGTGCATAAACAATAATTTTATTCAAATAGTAAATAAAAATAGCTTAGTTGAATAATGCATTATTTAAGTTAATTGTATTAATTATTACGAGAAACTTTTAGATAAGTTTAGGGCCGTCAACCCATAACATAACACGCTAAGTGTTTTTTAAAATTAGTGTATTTGATAATTATTGAGGGTATCACTTAAAATATTAAGCACTAACTTAAAATAAATTAAAATTTAAGTCTTATAGCAAAAAAGGCTAAGTGATTTTTTTAGGTATTACAATATTTTGTAAATGACAGTATTACCCTAAAATAATATATTTTGATAATTATTGAGGGTATCACTTAAAATATTAAGCACTAACTTAAAATAAATTAAAATTTAAGTCTTATAACAAAAAAACCTTAAGTGATTTTTTAGGTATTACAATATTTTGTTAATGACAGTATTACCCTAAAATATTATATTTTTTTAGGTTCTTCATCACTTGTTACCCTTGAAATTAAACGTATTAATTCTACTCTTAAAATTAAACATTGCATTTTTATTCCCTCTTTAGATTCCAATGGATTTTTCTTTTTAGCTTACTCTAATTTCTCAAATGTTTCATTGTATTTTTCTTCTCAAATAATGTAAATATAAATAATATTCAACAAAATAAATAAATATATATACATATATATATATACACACAACCATGGTTCACTTAAGTTTATAATCAACAATCATACAATGAAACTCTCACAGCATTGTTATGATACAAATCTATCATATAAATAAAAATCGAATGATTTGTGCGTGAATTCTAATCTCCTTCTCATAAATTATTCATTTTATATGTTGATTTTGAAACTTTTGCAATCAGTTTTGACATTAATATCTATTGTTAAATTGATATATTTCTTTGGTGAAATTTATTATTTTATATGTATGTTTATGTTTTAATATAGTATCTTTTATAATAATATTATGTGTAAGAATATTCAAGGCAAAAATGTAATATATACAATATTGAGATTTCAACTTTTGCATTTAACAAACAATCTTAATGAAATCAGTGCTTAAAATTAATACAGTATCAAACAAGTTTACTGATTATATATTCAACACTTAAAATTTCAATGTCTAAATTTCAGTTCTTGAAATTTTCGGTGCTTAATTTTCAATTTTATCAAATAACACCTTAGTCTATAAAACTAAATAGATTCTAATTATTTTTCTATAGTTTCAATTGATTCATTTAAGGTAAACAAACACGAGTTAAAAAATGATATGTTGTTTGGTCAAACTGAAAATTAAACATTCAAAATTTTATGAGTTAAATTGTAAGTGCTAAATTTTTAAGTTTTAGTTTTAAATTGAGAATGTTTTTTATATTTTAAAAAATTTAAAGTATTCAATATTATGTGATAAGTGAAATCTCCCTCTACTATAATTTTTACTCCAATTAAAGTAGTGCCTATATTATTTTATTTATAATTAAATATTAAATTAAGTTTTCAAATAAAACACCTTAATTGTTGATTTGAAAGCTCTAACTAGTTTTTTCCATTCTTTTTAAAGCAAGTGAAATCATTTTTTTTGCGCGCTCTTACCACTCATAAAATAAACAATCCTTTCCCTACTTTTCCCTTGTTTACTAGGGGTGTACAAAAATTCGGTGAATCGAAAATTCAAACCGGACGGAACAATTTGGTTCAATTTACTAACGGTTTGGTTCAGTCACGGTTCTTTGTGGAACCGTAAAAAATAAGGTTTGGTCACGGTTTTAGTTCCTTTAAGTCCGAACCGAACCATTAAATTATATATATATATATATATATATAATTATACATATAATATAATATAATCCTACAGTGAATGTAAATGTATTAGGCTATTAGCAGTTCTAAATATGTTGATTAACTTAGTTTATTATTGTTTATTTGGACTTTGAAATATGAATATTTCCGTAACGAAAAAAAAAAAAAGAAAAAGGAACCGAACCGGGGTTTTATAGTTTGGTTTGGTTCGATTCCTTTGGTTAAATGGTTTGGTTTGATTTGATTCTAAATTTTTTAAAGCAGTTAAGAATGATTTTGTTCAAAAAAAAACTCTTAAATCGATCCAAATAGAACTGTATGCACCCTATTATTTACTAATTTTTTACCCTAAAGGGTAAGTAAAACACGAACCCCCTTTTGTCGACTCTCTGACTTGAACCCCTTCAGGCCTGATTTACTATTCAAACACAACATTCGTTAACAATATATTTTCCTTTCCTCTCCTTTCTTCTCTATAATGACCTATACAATCTTCACATCTTATTTATCTCACATTAATTCAAATCATTTATCTCAAATTAATCCTTTTTTTTTTTTCTTTTTCTTTTTTTTTTTGTAAAAATGCCCATTGATAATCTGTTTTATCACTATTTTTCACTTAAAAAGAAGTAATTTGAATTTTTATTTAAAAAAAAAAAAATCTTTATTTCATCCTATTAACCTAAAAACATACCAATGAATTTTTTATTTTTTAAAAAAAAACTCGTCTAGTCCACTATAATTCCATATAGCGTTACAATTATATATAGTTTGTTTTTTTCTGCATGCAGTTTCTACGTGTTGGGACTCTTTTTCTGTCTTCTTAATATTTTTTTCCTTTTTTAATTAATAGTTTGATGAAATTGTTTGTCTATTCCTTCAATTTTCTTTAGTTTTCACCTCCTCAAATACATATAATAATGTTTAAACAAAAAATACATATAATAAATGTATTTTTGAATAGCCAACATATAGTTACAAAGGAGAGTATATAGATATATATATATATATATTTTCTTCATATTGAGCACAAACAGATAGCAAAGAGTTGAACACTACTTCTTACTCTCCTTTGTAACTTCATAAATGTAAGCGGAAGATTTTGGAATAAAATTGAACAGATAAAAAGAGTTGAATTTAAGTGTTATATAAATTGAGTATTTTATTATTTAATTTTTGTATTATAGGTGTTCAATATTATGTGATAAGTGAAGTCACACTTATTTAAACTTTTATTCTATTTTAATTGATATTTATTTAGAAAATAATTACGCTATTTCACCACATATGTGGCACATTCTTATTATTATATATCATCTTTGATTATCAATTAAATAAAAAATAATAATAATAAAAAAAAGGAATGGAAGTCCGTAGACTAATTTCATATTTGGACGGCATTAATCATTATTCCCTTTTATTTAATAAAATTAAAAATAAATTAAGTAACAAGCACACCACTTCTCACTCTTTTTGTAACTTAAAAAATGTAAGAATTTGGAGTAAGGGATAAGAGAGTTGGGTGTTAGTTTAATACATTAAAAAATTTAAGAGTTGAATTTAAAAACCTTTTGATTTTGATTTTTTTTTTTAATTATAAGTGTTTAATATTCCATGATAAGTGAAGTCCCACTTATTTAAACTTCTACTTCATTTTAAGAGATACCTATAATGAGTTATTCAACACACTTAATTGAATAAGTATTTAATTTATTTAAATTATTATTATTTGTTTTATTGGAAGGAAAGATTTTTAAAAAATTGAGGAAGAATAGAAGGGAAATTTAAAGATAAAAAAAGATTTCATCGTTTGATTGGAAAGAAAGAAAGAGGGAAAGTATGGAGGGATGTTCCTTTCCCGCATTTTTTCAACCTTTAAAATTGGACAAAAGTGAGAAGGAAAAGAATATGGAATTCCATTTTTGCTCTATCCATATTAGTTTAAATATTGAAGGTATACTGATAGAAAGAAGGGTAAAGTACAGAAAACCCCTCTTGACTTGTAACATTTTTTAGTGAACCCCCCTTGTCTATTTTTTTACCAAAGAACCCCCATCGACTTATAACCTTTTTTCCAATAAATCTCCATTCTCTATTTTTTTACCAAAGAACCCCCCTCAACTATCTGAAAGGGGTAAAATAGTTGATATTTAGACCAAAACGTTCCTTTATTTAAATCTTAATTCTCCCGAATTTAAAAAATTCATATCTCACAAACCGTACATTTAAAAATTGTAAATAATATATGCACAAAAAGCTTATGAGATAAGGATTCTAAAAATATAATATTTGTACAACAAACCTTCATAACCAGAGAGAAATAGGCAATCTAAAAATCTATTCCAATAATCTTCTTTTATTTTTAAAAAATAAAATAGTTGAGATATTTGCAATAAAATTTTCAGAATTATTCATTTATATACGAAGCCGAATATATAAAAAAATTTAACCCTAATAGAGATCGATTTCATGAGATATAATATTTTGCGTCAAAGTATTTTAGTTCTTTTTATAGACTTACCATTTTAAAATAAATAAAAATGAATATTAGGTCTCTATTGGGTCTAATTTTTTATATGTTATTCTCCATATGAAAATGAGTAATTCTGAAAATTTTCTTACAAATAACCTGAGTATTTTATAAAAAATAA